AAGCGAGGGGTAAGCTATGCAATATCATGTTTTCGCTGTTTTCCACAGCTACATTTCAATGGTTAAAATCATCATGATCCTTGGTCACAGGGTGGCAGAGGAGTCGTGCCCGTTTGTGTTTCTAGTTAAATTCAACGTATAATTGTTAAATGAATTGATTTTGCTAATCCACTGTAAAGAGCGAATAAATTGAATCTCTCCTCATAGAGTTATGTCAGATTTCCGTGTAAACAGCAGAAAGACCGTCATAAATGACTGCTCGCACGAGCCACGTCCGAACGTTTCTTTGTAACATTAGAATGTTTTAGATCGTTTACCTACATTTAATGAATCTACGATTGCTTTGAAACTTTAATCTTAGACAGTTCGATATTGTAGTTCTTTGAGAGATATGGAAAAGTTTCAAGGTTTGTCAAGAGAATTCTCTCATAATGCAGAGAAAGTCGAGGAATTCAAAACGAAAGGGAAAAACACGTGGTACAATTACATTTTATGCACTTAAGATTTAAAGAGGTGATTAAAGCTGTTTAAAGGGTTCACAACTTAAATTCTACCTGTTATCTCCCGTAAATACAGCGAAACAAATCAAGTATTGGGCGCACGTTAGCACCCATAATGTAATTTACAAGAAAAATATCTTGACCAACCTAATATTTTTTATTTTTACTTTACCTTTATTTTCTTCATGGAGGCTCTTTTCGGTTGCAAACGACTCCGTAGCCATCTAAGGGCAAAAGACAAACGTATAATTTAACTTTGCAGTAACGAAACCTCCACAGAAACCCTGTAATCACTGAGCAGAGAGAGGCTGAAGTTTATATCCAGTCCACCAATAAGACAAATTATCTTCTATGCAGTTTTTCGATGACAAAAGTTACTTTTATAAGACGAGAGAATAACAGTCCTCCAGCATAACGGTCTTCGACAAACTGTCACGCGAGTTCACGCCCTGCTACACTAAAAACGAAAACAAAAAGAGAGAATACAAGAAAAAATTTTTGTATATCTAGATTTTTTTCAATGTTTGCTTATCTGACCAGTAAATTGATTTAAAACCCCAAAAAAACTCCTACTGCCATCCTTGGTAAGAGAAAAAGGAAACCATAGGCAAACCAAAAGATAACAAAGACGGAGACTTCCTTTATGATCAGTTTAATACCGAAAAAACTAATGTACAAAAGTTGACAAAGTACATATACCCTGACAAATGGAACGACTTCAGAGAGGAGCTCGCAGCGCGCACAGCGCCCGCAGCGCGCACAGCGCCCGCAGCGTAGCCCCATAATTATACGTAATAGTAGTAATCCGTCAATCAGAAATAGTTTGTACTAGAGACCGTTCGACCGACCACACCAGGTGCTACATTGCGGGCACTATCTTAGTCATTACGTATGTGAGGGCGGAGAGCTTGCGGAAGATTCATGTGCCTTGATTGTTTCAATGCGCATCAATTGCTGAGTGCAATATTTGAAGGATACAAAGTCACCTCAGTTAAAAACTTTAAAGAGGAAGATTACGAAGCAGTGCTAAAGCGACAGCCGTTTTGTTCACAAGAGTTCCACGAGAGAGAAGTCTCACGATGTTTTTGCTTAGAGTGTCAAGTTTGCATTTGCCAGATTTGCGTAGCTACAAACCATCAAAACCACAAAGTTGATCGGCTCGGCAAAGCAGCTCTCGAAGAAAAGGGCAACATCTTGTGTAGCGCTACATTGATTAGGAACAAGGAAAGTGAGCTTTGTGAAGTCATCAAGCAATGTGAGAAAACAATTTCGAAGCTGGAAAGCAACGTCCCAACAGCTAAGCGAGAGGTCTCGCGAGTAGCCGAAGAAATTATCGCGGAGAATCGGGAGCGCGAGCGAGAAGTAATCGACTCTCTCGAGGCAACACGCGTGTCAATACTGGAGCAGATCAACTCAGCTAAACTGGAGGTGAAATCCTTGGCAAAGCAAATGAAGCAAGCGGCTGAGTTTGCAGAAAATCTGGTTCGCGAAAGCTTGAGCTCGGATGTTATGCAGAACAAGGAAACTTTGAAGCAGAAATGTGAAGAGCTTTGTGGAGTTGAAGTTCCAAGTTGTGCACCTGTTTTGTTAGTCCTGTTTTTAGATTTTTCTTCATTGCACTGGTCCCTGTGGGTCATCCAGGTGAGATCGATGAGATATTCGATGCTATTTCGTACAGCAAAGGAGCCTCTGTAATTACAATGCCGCATGACTATGTAGGAGAAAAGGTATGTTCCAACAAAAAATTTTCTGGCTCCTTGTGCCTCATTCTAACCTTGCTCAAGAGTTTGCAGGTTATCCCTACCTACAATTTATGTCCAGTTGATTTTTAGCCTTTCAATCTAAAGTGTGACTAGCATCTAATTTATCCTACACTTTCAACTCTGAATCACAAACAGGCAAAGAAGAACCAGCTAAAGAAGCTCTTGATTGCTAAACAGATTTTTCCTTGTCAGTACCACAAGAAATGTCTAGAGAACAGTTGAAAGAATATGCATACTGATGATAAGTTGTAAAGGGTCAACACATAAGGAAGTGGATCATACTTTTACATGCTTTACTTTCGCATGCTTTAACTGACATGATTGTCCATTTTATGCTTCATCTTATGTTTTAGGTTTTCAGAGAAGAACTTGCCTATCGTCTGGACATATCTAAGTATAGCAATGCCTCAACTGGTAACTATGTTATGCATAAATGGTTAAGAATATATGAAAGTCATATATGTTTTTACTTATTTTTTTCACTTCAGATTTGCTGCCTGTGGAACTGAATTTTATCCCAGAAAATATAATTATCTAGTGTAAATTATGTTCCGTCAGTTGGGATTATTGATGAGATTATTTGAATGAATTTCTTTCGGAGGACCTCTGGGCCAGTTTGTCTCACGCCATTTCGAAGCATGGACCAAACATCCTATGTTGTCTGTTACCGCTGAACAGGAGTGCGTTTACAAAAATTTTTTAATAGAAGTCTTCCCTGGAATAAAGTGGTGAAATACTTCTCGTTTTGGAGAGCCCATGGTACCTGTCCTTTAATGACAATTTAGGTTATAGCACAAGTGTACCTTGGATAGCAAAGTATCGTTAGTTTTTCATGAAAATTTTGGACGCAAGTTAACTCTACGAAATACGCTGTTTGAGTACTAATGCCGGCTACAAACTCTGGCATTTTTTGTCAGATTGTCTTCTTTACTTGCCATAGCCTTACAGCTCTCAGGGGTGATCAGAAAGGATTTGCTCTTTGTGATGTGAAAACGTTTCTAGGCAGAAAAGGTTTGGAAAGATAGAAAAATATAAACTGGAGGATATTGTTTGATTTGACGCAAAATTTTGGAGCTGAAATTATAAGAAATGTAGGTCCGGCAAATTTAGATCTTGGAACGATCTTAGGAAGGAAAAGGTAGAGGAATGTTATCAGCTTGCTATGTTCTTTATTTCTTCAGAAATTAGATTCAAGAGAGGTTGCTATCACTCAGGACAAGTTCTTTGCTGATGGAGTTAGAAGGTATGGAGTTTGAAATAACAATTACGGTTTGTAACTGCTCAGACCAGATTATTTTAAAACAAATTGTTTTGGGACTCGAGCCAGGAGTTTATCATACAGTTACGCCGCTAAGTGCTTACAACTGCCGATCACAAGTGAAGAAAATTTAATATGAACTGAGGAAACTCGAAACTTTTTGCTTTAATTTCTTTATTTGATTCTTTACCACTAACCTGCTGTGAAGTTGTTCATGAGAGATAATTTTTTCTTTAAATTTGTTCACTGCAGGGTCTTACCACTGGCAAGTACCTGTAAGCATATCATCCAGTGCAAACCCTCGTGAAAGTGTAGCAATTATGCTGTTGGATCCGATGTCCTGTACTGTGACAGTCAGTGGTGTCAAGCCAGATGACTGGGTCAAGGTATGCTCCATAACAACATGTTGATGCCAATATAGGCGACCCATGCAAGCTGTATTATATTGTTAATTGGCAAATTTTTCAAGGTTCCTCTTTCCCATGCATGAAGGAATCTGTTCACAATTTTTAATGAAATAGTTTGATAATAGTGTTCAACTAGTTTCCAGGAGACAATTCTGGATTCGATTCCCGTTGAAGTCTAAGAGTTTTATTGATCTTTTCTGCAACTGATTAAATTGCAGTCCACTTGGAGAATCATTTCTTTTGCCTCAATCCCTGTTTCTTTGGCTTATACCCTCCATTCCTACCATTTACGATGTTGTGATTGTTGTCCAGATAGGCTTCTTCATTAGTTCTTATAAATTAATATGTTTTTATTTCTTCTGCTGTTTAGTTAAATCCAAGCCAAGTTGGTTTCTACCTAGTACAGTACTCGTCCGACATGTTGAAACTTCTCCTTCCGGCCATAAAGGACAATAGTCTTCCACCAAGGGAAAGACTAAGACTGGAAAATGATCTGTTTGCATTGGTATGTACATGTGCACTGCAGGATAGCTATAGAATGAGAGTGGTGAAACAGTGTGCTCCAGAAATCGCACAATGTTTACCCTCGCCACTTAAAATTGTGTGTAAAAATTTGTTCTTACTACGTTTTGAGATTCTTTGGTTTACTAAGCTTTTCCAAAATAGCCTTAGGCATTAAGCAACTTTCCCATTTAGCTCTGCTTTCGCCATGTGAATATAATGATAGACGAATTCTCAGAGTAGCAAAGATGCAATGAGTGCTGTTGACGAAAGTCAGGGCAATCACAACAGCCAATCGGAGGAAAGGAAAGTATCACAAGCAGCCAATGAGAGCGCAAAGTAAAAACAAGCAAACCGCCTAAAGCGTGGGGAAACGCGAGTGACCAGTTCGCGACTAGCTTTACTTTTAAATGTGATTGATTGAGAGGTTGGGTCGAGTTTTTTTGTATCAATCATATGGCACAGTAAACAAAACCAGTTCAATCCAACACTCGATTGAAAACTTCTTAAATGTGACTCAAGATTTTTAACTCATCACTTTAATGTTTACTTTTGTTCTCTGTAATATCGTGCTGGCCTTCTGCCCGGGCCTGATGTGCTGAAAGTGGTCGAGGCATTTAGCAACGAGACAAACTACACTGTATGGAATGACTTGATTTCCAACAGGAGTCTTGCCGGAGCAATTCTCCGATACTCTCACTGTTACCCAAGCCTCCAGGCGTTTTGCACCAAACTTTATGAACCCATCAGCACCAAACTTGGTTGGAATCCAATCGAAGGAGAGAGTAAGTCTGTTTTTTTTCCTCTTTGTTTTGTGATTTTCGTAGATACTTTTCTTTTTCCGGTAGTGACAACGGATCCGATCACACTCGCTGATATGTCGACCAAAGCATCTGTGTGCAGTCGGCCAACTGTCGGCCACTCGTCGGCCGACTGTCGATCGACGGCTTCGCTCACCACTTAAAACACCTATCCTTGGAAGATGTGTCAGGGAACCTTGACGTTTCGGTGATGTGTCATTAGTTCATGCTCTCTTTTGGTTTATTTTCTTTGTTTCATTCATAGCCCTACAGCACAACCATTAACTTCAAAGAATGAGTGAAACTTTTTTTAAGGCCATAAAACCAAAACTCAGTGTGTGAACAGTAAGCTTGAAGTTGTTAAGCAGCATATTTTGTGTCAAGTATTCTGTAAAAAATATTGAAAACATCTAGTGCTTTACCCCCCTAACTTCAGTATGCATGTTATTCACACTGTTCACACTGTGCTTGAAAGGAAAAATTATTTCAGAATCAAGCGCTACTGTAGTGGTTGATCTTTCTCTTTATTCTCCGTGACCTCAATGTGTGATTCAGGGGATATACTTTAAGGAGGAATTAGAACCTAGTCAACCATAGAAGTGAAAGGATTATGTGTGTGGATGACCCTTACTAAGCGTGTTATTCAATGTCAGGTCACCTTGATACCCTCCTCAGAGGTTTGATAATCGGACGTTTGGGTAAATATGGCCACCCAGCCACTGTCAAAGAGGCGCAGAAGAGATTTGAAGCACACTGTAAAGGTGAATCCACCATCCCGGCTGACTTAAGGTCAGTGGTGTACAGCACAGTGCTTAAGCATGGTGATGGTAACACCTTGGAGTCTGTGATGCAACTTTTGAAAGAAGCTGATCTGCACGAAGACTGAAGTCCGATTGATGAAATGTATGGAACCTGTATCACAACCTGATCTGATCAGGAAAGTGTGCGACTTCTCCTTGTCGGTACGTTGTAATTTTTTTTTCACCGTTATTACCATTACATGCCTTCTAATTTGCCTATACTCAAATACTCCATGATCACATCAGATGTAACTTTCGCAACAGAAACTTTGTAAGACTATTAAGTGCATCTCTATTGCGTGACGGAAAATCAAACTGGAAGTGATACAATGGCTAATAAAAACAATGGAAAATACCTCAAGTAACCAATGAGAACTCACAGTTATCACAAGCAGGCTGCCCTAAGCGCAGGAGAATTCAAAGAAACAATCGTGCGTGGTGTTATTTCTGCATCTGATAGGCTGACATTGTGGCCAGTTACAGAGCGAAGCCATTGCAATCCTAGATAAGCTTCCATACTCAATCGAAAATCTCGTTCACAGTCCTGTCTTACATAGATTGAGTCAAGGCAGTGCGGAAACCATTTATGGTATCTGACTACAAGCTTTAACCCTTTCAACCCTAAGAGTGATTAGCATCTAAATTCTCCCAACAATATTACCCCTGAATCACACATTAAGGTCATGAGAATGAAAGAAATGATTACCAACTAAAAGAAGCTTTTGATCAGAAAACAAATTCTCCTTGTCAGCACCTTAGGAAATGTATAAAGAACAGTGTGGAGAATATGCATACTGACATTAGGGTGTAAAGGGTTAAGAATTGTATGTGTCTTTCAAAATCGTTATACAGCGTAGTACCTAATAAAATACATTTTTTTTAGGACCAAGCTCGGTCTCAAGACACAGTGTTTGTGATTGCTGGCATCTGTGGAAGGTAGAGGCTCTTTCTTATTTTTTATTATTTGCCATCATGGTTTGTGAAGACTGAGAATGTTCGCTTATTTTTTTCTTTCGCTAATGTATAGTGTGAAAGGGCGTAAAATGGCGTGGAAATTTGTGCAAGAGAACAGGGACGAGCTGCACAATCGCTACGAAGGAGGTTTCCTGCTTTCTCGCCTGATCAAGGTTGGATAACGTCTCTTATTTCCTAGAGCACATTTAGATAAAGTATTTTAAAACCAGAACGTAAGGAATCACAAACACCAATAAAAATAAAGGAAAAACGTTTTAGGAGTCGGATAGAACATAATGTTTACTCATACTAACTGCCCGAAGTTCGGAAAAACGCGAGTGACCATGGTGCGATTTTAGTAGTGGATCTAGGGAAGGTTAGCGCCAGTTTTCCTAACAAAAAAAAAGAGAAAAAAAAATCCTTCGAACCATTATGTATCCCTAAGCGATAGAAATAAGGAGAAGAAAGAAGCTCTGCAAACTTGCTTGAGTGAATTTTAGACGTTAAGCTTATAATTAAAGTCAAACTTTCCAGCAAGATGTTTTTACACTGACTCATGCCTCTAGAATGCAGTGGAAACTCACCTGTGGTTAGATAATCACCTTCGCAACTATTCTTTAGGATTCCTTGCAAATCTTCCCCGAAAGAAGCAGGTAAAGCGTTGCGTGACATTGTGACTTCCTGAGGAAGATAAGGGGCTTAGTTCTAACCTGGACGACGCCTTGATTGAAACGAAAGAAAGATAGACTGAGTGGCGGAAATCCGACCTATCTCCCCAAAAAACGCAAGCTGGTCGCCACTAGAGTGAAGCTCCAGTCAAATAAATTTTTCTTCAAAGCGGTTTTGAAGAGAACAGTTCCTGGCTACAACCGTAGCAACAACCACTCGCTCTTAACACAGCGGTCAAACGTCGGGCACGCGCGAGTGAGATCAATTTTGGCCAGTTGCGCGTCGATTTCCCGCCCAAAATTTCTAAGGGAAACATAGAATAACTATCTTTTCGCAGAACTCTATAAAAGGAATCAAAAGTGGGGAGAAGAAAACTTACGACTTTCGATCCCAAAGCTTAGATTCAAGTAAAGGTATCCTGTTGATTAAACCATTCTGTTTTGAGCTTTACCGCAAAAAAAACTTCCCGTTACAAAGAGAAAGCCGTTTGCGTTACCTTCAAGCTGTCACATAATCTTAAAATGCGTGACGGAATCCGGAAGGCACTGGAGTGAACAGTTCCTAGAAGTGAGCACGATTAAAGTTTTAACTTCTCTTCCTAGCAAATTACGATCACAATTCTTTCCAGGCTTCTTTTTCGGTCTTCCTGCTTCCTTGGAGCTAGGGTAACGGTTTTTGTGTCTTCCATTACACGCTTCAGCATTGTCACAACGACAATGAGCAGTGTAAAGAAACCTTTTCAACGACTTCCCACAAGCGTGCTGCCAAAGAACTACAAACTGACTTTGCAGCCAAATCTGACAGAATTTACCTTTACTGGAGAAGAAGTAATCGATGTGGAGGTAATATAACCGTGGCAGGATTAAAGAAATATATATAATATGTAATTGTGTTCACGTGCAGGTTGAATTCTATCTTTGATTAAAAGTTTGTTTCCTTTGGGTATCGGACATACCAAAATATTTGTATGATAATCAAGTGATTTCTGCAAAATGTGAGATTAGGTAATACTTCAATGAGGTTTGATAGCCAGTAAATGAATACAATATTAATTCCCTTTTTACATTTACAGTTTCTATGCCATTGTGATGTTAATGTGAAGAATTTTTTAACTTGAGGAGATGCTAGAACAATTTCCTCTCCTTTCCTTTCCTCCCCCCTTAATCCTGCCCCTTTTGCCGTTTAAGGGTGCGGTGGTGACTAAATTTTACGATCACGTACCTAGGACAGTTCCATTAGGGCCTAAAGCTATAAACTCTTGGCATAAAAGTATACATTGAAGCAGTGTTACAAAAAATCCTCAACTTATGTCTCTAGCTTGTTGGTGATCACACACTAACTGTTTCATATGCAGGCTGATGCAGCACAGAAGTCTCTTTTAACAATTAACAATCCTGCTAGAATTTTCACCTTTGTGGAAGTGGAAAATCTGTCTTTGTTCTTTTTTCTCTGTTTAAGGAAGATTTTTAATTGCTTTTTTTTTTTACTTTCTAATCTTAGGTAAAACAAGAAACCAACAAAGTGATTATCAACTGTCTTGATGTAAATGTTACCTCAGCCAGTTTTTGTTTTGGAGAACAAAGTAAGTACTATAACTCTCTACCAGAATTTTATGCTACATTATGACACTGCTTCAATAATGGCTAACCTTTTATATCTCAAATAAAGATGTGGGTGCTGTGCTTGTTTAAAATTTTGCCCAAAAAAGGGGGGGGGGGTGCTTATGGGAGGGTGGATGGAGGATGCTTTATTAAGGGGGCAGTTATTATCCCTACTGATGAAGGAAGGGGGGATGTTTATTTGGTGGCAGATGTTTATCAGAGTGTGGGCACTTATTTGAGGATATGGGGTAAGTAAAATTGATAATCTACATTTTTTAAAATTAAAATTGTGTTACAGTTTTTGGAAAATGTCCTCAGGTATCAGTGGGAGAGACATGGGAAATCTCTAGGGGTTAGGAAACCTCATAAGCTTATGAACTTGTGATCCAAAAGTGTTTTTTTCCCAGAGAATGTTGATGGACTGGAAAGGGGACAGAATGCAAAACCAAAATGCTCTCTAAGGGACTTGTGTAGGGGAGAGAGAGAGTTCCAGGACAAGCAGAAGCTCTTAGAAGCCCCTGATTCTTGAAAAATTATCTTTGTCAGTACCACAGGAATTGAAGAGAGGGCACTGTGGTCCAAGGTCACCACAACTTCCACAACAAATGAATTAATTAACAAATTAATTTAATGTTTGATTTGATTGAGACCTTGAAGTACAATGTTTCTTTTTCATTTCAAGTACAAGACCTTACTTAAATCATCCATTTAATCAAAGTTACTTAAAGGCTGACTTCAACAGTTTAACAAGGCAATGTTTCTTTTTTTAGGTTACCCTTCCTCAAATATCTCTCATTGTGTTGAGGATGAAACTGTGGAAATAAGTTTTGCATCGCCTCTTCCTTTGGGGCAAGGTGAACTATGCTTGGACTTCACTGGAGAATTGAACAACAAATTGAAAGGATTTTACAGGTGTAAATATACTGGGGAGGATGGCAGTGAGAAGTTCTGTGCTGTCACTCATTTTGAGGTTAAGTAATTTTCCTATAGTCACATAATTGATCACTGGTTAAATTATTTTAATTAGTCAATTATGACCAGTCCTGCAAATTTTGCACTGCACTGAAAATTTGTTTACACATGTCAGTTACAGTATAATCTATTTGCACATGTAATATTATATGGTGATCAGACTATGAAGTTTCTTTGAACCAGTTGTTAACAATAACAGTACTTTATCTCTGTCAGTGATGAAACCTCCAGGATTTTATTTTAAAAAAATGTTATAAGTATTTGCATTGTTGTAGAGCTGTTTTATATCCCTAGTCATGTATTTTAACCCTTAAACTCCCAGAGGTGATTGACAAGTAACTTCTCCCTACAATATCCATGAACTATCTACCACACATGTGGTGAGAATATTCAAATGTATCAGGTAGAAGTTGTTGTCATGATCTGACACCAAATTCTTGTAACTTATATACAAGGAAATGTGTAGCAGCTAGAGGGGAGAATTAACAATCAGATCTTGGGAGTTAAAGGGTTAAATGCTTGTAATGTGGAACATTCTGATTGTCATTGGAATGCTCATGAAATTGACTATTTCTGATAATCTTTATGTAGTTATTGTGTGATGGAATTACAGGGGGTAATCATTCTTTAACTTAGAAGGGCTATCCCTGATGATCAACTTTGGGGGAGAATCTCGAGCTGATGAATACATGCATTCATAAATGAATTCCAGTAGTTACATATTTAGTACTGTAGATGGTGTTTAGATGAACTTGATTTCTAAGTACAATCATATTAAGTTATGTTTTACTGTATACAGCCAACAGGGGCTCGTAGAGCATTTCCTTGTTGGGATGAACCAGCCATTCGTGCCACTTTTGATATCACCTTGATTGTTCCAAAGGACAGAGTGGCTTTATCCAATATGGTAAGTACAACTCAGTAATGGAATAATTTGTAAATTAGACTAATTCAATCTATTGTTTGTGTAACAACCCTTAGCCTATGGTGACTGTGAAATTTTCACAAGCTGACTAATTTGAACAGGATATGGATCCTTGAGTTTAGAGTTGCTAGCAAACTGTACAATAACTTTAGAATATTTTTCATTGATTTAGTGACAGAATTGATTTAACGTTATCTACCACCAAGGCTGCTTTTGTTACCTGTGCCCCGAGAACCACATTAGGAAGCAGTAAAGCAAATAACTCTTCAAGAAGTGTATTTCTTGTTTTTTTTCACTACCTACAACAACAACTATTTTTAACTATCCCAGATGTGTGATCTATGTCACAAGCCACATGTTTCCTTTACAATTATTGCTTATTTCTACTTGTTTACGCCCTAACACTTTGTAGTCAGAGTTCAAGTCCTATACAGAAAGGATATCCTAATGAGAAGAGCTTATAAGTCTTTATCTCATATTTAATTCACCTTTTGATATGCAAAAAGAGGGAAATTTTTCTGGTAAAAAAGAAAAAAGAAAAACAAAAGAAACAACATGGGGTCCACAACACCCTGCCACAGATAATGTAAGAAGAAAGTAACTGAACTTCAGCTAAATTCCATTTTAATAAACCTCTTTCAACCTAACATCAGAATGCATATTCTCCATACTGTTCTCCAAACATTTCCAAATGATGATAACAAGGAGAATTTGTTTAACAATCAAGATCTTTAGTTGGTGATCATTTCCATTATGTTCTTGACCTTGATGTGTTTTTCAGGTTTTATTTTGTAAGGAGAAATTAGATGCCAGTCATTTTTGGGGTCAAATACTCATTTCTTCAAGACTAGTAACTTGACTCTTATTAACCTGTAAAGTCAATTTGAAATGGAAAGGCATGCTGCTTATTTTTTAAAAACAACTTCATCTATGTCGTACACAAATTTCTGTTTTCAGAACGTAAAAGAGGAGAAAGATCATGCCGAGGATACCTCCCTTAAAGTAGTGAAGTATGCCAGGACACCAGTCATGTCTACATACCTTGTTGCTTTTGTTGTTGGCGAGTTTGATTTTGTAGAAGGAAGAGATGCAAATTGGGTAACAATCAGAGTTTATACTCCAAAGGGAAGAGAAGTTCGGGGACAGTTTGCTTTAGAGGTCAGTCTTGCAAAGTGCATTACAAATTTTTCCCAGTTCACACTTATCTCAACAATAATTCTCCTTAATGTCTGCTATACATTTCCTGTAATGTTGCTTCTGAGATTTTGTCGTTGAGTTTAAGAATAATGCCCTTATCAATATATATCTTGATTTTTTTCTCATCTTGTGCCTGCTTAACAGTGTATTGATATTTTAACCCTTTAATTCCCAAGATCTGATTGTTAATTCTCCCTTCCAGTTGCTACACATTTCCTTGTAAATCAGTTATGAGAACCTGGTGCTAGATCAAGATAGCAGCTTCTACGTGATAAGTTCGAATATCTTCATTTTTTGTATTACCTGTTTGCTGAATAATGTAAAGATATTATAGGGAGAAGTTTCATGTTAATCACTTCCAGGAATTAAAGGGTTAAAGAGAAATTAGTTCCGGGCTACACCTGGGAGTGAAAGGCTTAAAATGTTCAGGGATTATTTTTGTTAATTTTTTCCAGGTCGCTAAAAAGTGCCTGCCATTTTACAAAGAATATTTTGGGATTGGTTACCTTTTACCAAAGCTTGACCTCATTGCTATTCAAGACTTTGTCATAGGTAACTCAGCATTACTTATTGATATCAAAATTTGCCTTACTTTTATATATTTTTTAAAACATTACATGGTCTCATAGTAATAATTATAGTAAAGTAAGAGCTCTTCATTTTGGATCCTAGTGATGTCTTGCAGAGCTCTTCATTTTGGTTCCTACAGTATTAGGTGATATTAATGATTAGAAATAATTTGGATTTGATTATATGCCATTGAAGCCTCCATTTCCATATTCTGTGACAGGGGCTATGGAAAACTGGGGTCTTGTCACCTACAGGTATGGAGAGTTTTTTCTTGGTAAAAATAATGCTAATCTATGTTTTTAAAAATTTAATTTGTATTTTTTAATTAGCATCTTTATAAGAGTGTGGAAAACAGGAGTCAGCAAGCAATTAAAGTCAATTGGTATGCCTTAAGAGGTGATCATGTAGATCATGTAGATCAGTGAACTGTCAACAATATCATGATATGCAATTTTTTTTAAATTAATTGTTCTAATTTATAGTTATTCACATCTGACCATTTCGATGTTGATATTCTTGCTTAAGGGAAACCTGCCTTTTGATAGATCCAACTGATTCTTCTTCAGCAGCTAAACAGTATGTGGCTTTAGTTGTTGGTAAGTGCAGAAGTATGTTACTCATTGAATAGTTCGGTTAAACGACTGACTGCATGGATAGATGTGTTAACAACTGTTTTCAAATGCAATCAAAAGAACACATGGAATAAAGCTAATGAAAGGTTTCTTTTGCATACATCCTCTTCTCCAAGTGTCTTTTTACCCTTTGCACCCTAACATCAGTAAAGTTATTCTCCATACTGTTCCCCAAACATTCCTTAAGCTGCTGTCAAGGAGAATTTGTGTAACAATCAACAGCTTCTTTTCTGCTGATAATTTTCTTTATTCTCATGACCTTACTGCATGATTCAGGGGTGATATTGTAAGGAGAAATTAGTTGCTGGTCACTCTTAGGGGTTAAAGGTTAAGAAAGAAGTGGGCAATTTGAAAGGAGAATGTAGCAGTATATCAGATCTTACTCAGGGGTTTTTTATCTTTGAGATCATTTGTATTGAATCTTCTTATGTTGCCTCTTAGGTCATGAACTTGCTCATATGTGGTTTGGAAATTTGGTAATTAATATACAATTTCATTAATAAGTTACCTCCTTCTTGATTTTATCATCATTATGATCTTTGGATCATGTCTGCTAATTTATTATGTTGGAATTAAATCAAAGTTAATTTTAAAATTTAGTATAATTATTCTTTGGTCTTAAAACTCTAATTTGTTAGTTTTAGTGAAGCATTGTTACTTATTTTGTGGGGGGGGGGGGGTGGGTGGAAAGTTTTGAGTAGACATTAATTTAAAAGTAATAATAACTGTGCTATTATTGTACTAGTTTTAAAATCTTTTAATTTTGTGGAAAGCTTGAAAAATCATCCCTTTAGCCAAGTGTTTTATCCATATTAAATAATGTTGTCAAGGTATCTATCTCTCTTGATCCTCTTTTTCATTTTTGGTTTTTCAGGTGACAGTGGTAATATGTCCTTTTATGTTGCCTCTTCTGGAAATCTGTTATTGTTTCCTGAATGCCTAGAGCAGACCACATCAGTGACAAGCTCAAGTTTACCCTCAAGAAGAAGCACTCTTTCCACTTTCTCTAAGTTGTTGTGTGCCATCAAGTTGACATGGATTTGCCAGATTGTTTAAGTTTGAGTGTATGTCTTCACTTTGTTTCTTTGATATTCAATGACAGGAATGGTGGACACACTTGTGGCTAAAAGAAGGGTTTGCATCATGGATTGAATATCTCCTGGTAGATCACTGCTTTCCTGAGTTTGATGTGTGGACACAGTTTGTGAGCACTGATTTTGCCAGTGCCTTGAAACTTGATGCACTGAATAACAGGTACTAATTATTTGCATCATTCAGACAAGTGAAAAGCTTCTTGTACTGTAGGCAGCATAGTGCATGTACATTGTAGCCACTTCATTACGAGTTTCAAACCTGTGGCAAATAAATCATGACTTAAATGAAATTTGTTATCAGTTTTAAGTGTTCTGACTTATTATCTGTGATTTTATATTTTTCTCTCCCACATGATTCCCTTCTGCACTCAAGTCATCCAATTGAGGTAAAAGTTTGGGGAAATATTTTATCTTCATTAATATTTGTTGTAAATTTTGCATTTGTTCTTTGTTAATCCTTTTCTTTACCTCTATGAGATAATTTGCTCCAATGAGCTTTTGAAGAAAAATGTTAAAAACAATCTCAGACTTTCTAATGTCTAGTTTATAATGATGATAAATTTGTCTCTGGAGTTTATAATTTTTTTTTTGATGAAGTCTTCCATTTAATAATTTCTGTCAGCAGAATTCCAATTGACATTCCAATTTTCAGTTTGTACATGTGTATCAATAACAGATCTGCTGTAACAGTTATTTACAAGAGTCCACATGTTATGTATTAAGCAGAGAGATTAAAATTTTGTGAATGATCAACATGTGGTATTGATGTGTTTTAGGTTCCAGTGCAACATCCAGGGGAGATAGATGAGATTTTCGATACAATATCCTACAACAAGGGTGCATCAGTGATCAGAATGTTACATCAGTATGTGGGTGATCAGGTAAGTCATTATCAAGATTTCATTTCTCCTTACAGTACTGGTACATCAGTAAAACAGAAATTGTTAGATTAATAAAGAAAAGAAATCAAAGCAAATCCAATTTCTTACTGAAATCTCAGAAGTGAGAAAATGTAGGAAAAAGATTTTTGTTGTCTTTGCAATTAACCCTTTAACTCCCTGACAATTCTTATGATGTCAATTTGGAGAATTTGGTATTGGATCAACCAATAATCCCCTAATTGATATTTTACTTTATTCTCATCACTTCTATGCTTGATATTGTATTGATATTGTGAGGAGAAATTCTGTCTTGATCACTCATGGGAGTTATGGGGTTAAATACTGCAAAGTGGTCCTTCAAGACCTTTCTGCTTTCCATTGTTTGAAGTAAAGTACACAGTGTGGCATTCTGATACAATTGTATGAATTGACCATCATTATTATTCTTTTAAAATTTTTTGAAGGATTTTGAATATTTTCTTTCAGTGAAATAAAGTTTGTATGGTTATAACTTTTTTTTTTTGTTTTTTTTTTTAAAGAGCGTTTAGGTTTGAGGCTTTTTCTAAAGCAAACTCAAGATTCTTACATCCTTTTCTCTTTGTAATTGCTCTTCTGTACACTAAATTATCACTATTTCATCACTTCTATACACCACAGGACTTTAGGAAAGGTCTAAATCACTACCTGAAGACATTTGAGTACAGTGCTGCCTCCACAGGTGAGCTGGGACCAGTTGTTGCTATTCATAATACAGAGCTCTGACCAAGAACCAATGCTTGAAACGTCAGGTTTAAGAAACTCTTTACGGTGGCCAATTTACAATATCAACCCTGATAATAAACCCAAAATTATCTTGTTATACCCCCTTCCGACGCAGCACCACAGTTTCTATGGAAACGAATATCTCCTTTATTTATTTGTTTTATGTAAGCCCTGTGCCCTTATCGGCGCGCTTTTCTGTTCAGAGTTGTAAAAACATTATGGCTCTATTATGGGGGTCTAAAAGTATTTCTTAAAATTATTTTATCGTTACCATTATTATTACATTTTTTTCACTCTCCAAGAGGACCTCTGGGCCAGTCTGTCTCACGCCAGTTCGAAGCCTGTTGCAGACGTTATGGAAACATGGACCAAACAAATGGGATATCCTGTGTTGTCTGTTAAAGCAGAAAAGGTAGGAGCTAAGCTCACCAAGTTACGATCGTTTCGGTCGCCATGGCAAGAGGAAAAAACAATTTTTAAGCGGGGGGGGGGGAGGAAGGGGAGGCTTCATTTGCAGCAAGAGTTGACAATTTAATGACCTATATGCGGCATTCATGTTAACTGATAACGTGCTTATGTTCATCATAGAGTTAGGCAAGCTTTGCATTGGCACACTAACTCAATCAGGCTTAGTTCTAGTTGCGTTCCGGACAACTTTGCGCAGACAAATTGTGGATCAGTAAAGCTACTTAACCTTTTTACCTTTTTGATAACAAAATCGACTATCTCTGTAAACACAACCTTATTCCACTGTAATGAGCGCTAGCAGTCACGCGAGACGAAAACGCCTGATTACTCTTTTATTTCTCTTTTCAGAAAGGGGAAGATGTGGTGGTCACCATAACACAGAACAAATTTTCGGCTGATGGAACAACTGAAGGTAATTGTAATTAATAAACCCTGGTGTATATTAACTATTTCCTGAGCAGAGAAGTGCAGATGTGATCTTGTCTGTTGAAGCTTCTAGATTATTTAAAGAATCCTCAACGACAAAGAAAACGCAATAATTAAGACAAACATGTATAAATACATGTTAAAAGGGGAAATATAGAATGAATGCAGGGCCACAGTGAACGAGCCTTAAGTTTCGTTGTCCGGAGAAATAAGATTAAAAGAGAATTCTCAATTCTTGATTTACATAAACTGTTGGATTTCGCTATCAGCGGTTTACTTACCCGTGCTTTGTCCTTTTTTTTTTATTTTTTTTTTTTTGTAAGATTCTTCCCAATGGAAAGTACCGATCACTGTTTGCACTAGTACCAGTCCCTTAGCCCCCGCAGTTGAAACATTGTTAGAAAATAAAACCTGTGAAATAACAGTCAGTGGAGTTGGAAAAGATCAGTGGGTTAAGGTGAATTTGTAAGAATGGCCTTAAATTACGATCAGTGATTTTCAGTCATGTTTATCGTTATGTGTTAATCGTTTTTAGATAATTGTTATACGTTAATCGTTAAATGATTATCGTTTTACGTTAATCGTTAGATGGTAATCGTTATACGTCAATCGTTAATTGGTAATCGTTATACGTTGATCGGCTCACTATTTATCAAGGAATCAGATTTCTAGCCCTGTATGAATAATCGAATGACAAATAACTGTGCTTCCCAGCCAGTTGGATGGGTACCAACGAATATACTAGGGGTGGGGGGGGGAGGGGTAACTTATGACGGACTCACACCGCTTCGAGCTTTCATAGAAATGAAGTAATTAACGTGTAAAAGGTGAAATCTCTCTCTCTGCAGTTAAATCCAGGCCAAGTTGGTTTCTACCGAGTACAGTACTCGTCCGACATGTTGGAGCTTCTCCTGCCGGCCATAAAGGACAACAGTCTTCCACCAAGGGACAGATTGGGTTTGCAGAGTGATCTGTTTGCTCTGGTATGTTAATGAGTCCACCTCTAGACAGCTTTCGTTAAAGAATCTCTTGATGCATTTTTCAACTTAAATTATTTCTACAAACAAAAGGACTTTTATGGAATTATTCTCCTTTCATATTCTCGTAAAATCCGCGTTATGATTTATTTGTAACAAGCCTACACTTGCAAAAAGTTCTTTATCGCTAGAACCTTTATCGGACTGTAATTGATCGTGTGAACTTTTATCTCTCTTTCTCGAAAGTCTTAACTAGAAAACTAGCCAAGAGTTCCAATTTTAAACATTGTTCTTCTTTAGGCGCAAGCAGGTCTCACATCCACAACAGAATTCCTAAAATTAGCTGAACAATTTAGCAACGAAACAAACTATACAGTGTGGAATGACCTAACAACGAATATGAGCAGCTTGTCGAAGCTGTTGCAAAACACTGGGTTCTACTCTAGCTTCCAGGCCTTCTGTGTGAAGCTGTACGAAAACATTGCCCAGAAAGTTGGATGGGACCCTAAAGCTGGAGAAGGTAACAGACAAAGCAAGCTCTCGGATTTGCTCATATTTGTCTACTTCTAAGAGCGTATACTTCAAGAATCGAAGGTTCCCTAACAAGGACCAGTGCTATAAATTTCATCCACAGGATTTCTCATTTTTAGGTATATACGGTATATCACTTAATGCAAAAGGTTGATGATTTTATGGGTAGAATGGGCAAATTGTCGACTTTCGCCAGACCCTCTTGCAGGATCATGAGACATTATCGTCTGTCCTTTGAGAGCTAGGCGACGCACAAAGCCGGCCTCACTATATACATGTGGAATTAGTATAGGACGACTAATTAGGGCGCTAAATTGAGAGGTCAGGGGTCAAGTCTGGGCAGCTGCTCTGGTAATTTTGTTGAAGTCTTGTTCCAGACACTGTGCCAACAGTAGCTCTCTCCACCCAGGAGCGAAAATAGGTAGCAGAAAACTGTCAGGGTAGCCTGACTAAAGGCGCGTGGAGAGGGTAATTTTTGATAGATAATTATTGTTACTTAAGAAAGAGAAAGAAGCAGTATTCTTAATTCCTTTACGACAGAGAACGTGGCAACATTCTCTAAGAGTGCAGTGCCCTTGGTGCCGACTTTTAACCTGGACTAGAATAATGGGTTTAATTGTCTACTGTTGTCCTAGGTCATTTGGATGCGCTGTTGAGGGGCCTGGTGCTGGGCTGTATGGGACGCAGTGGTGATCAAGCAACCCTCGCCGAGGCGCGCAAGAGATTTGAAGCGCACTGCAAAGGTGAATCCACCATCCCGGCAGACTTGAGGTCAGCGGTTTATAGCACAGTTCTTAAGCATGGTGATGATAACACCTTAGAGTCTGTGATGAAATTGTTTAAAGATGCTGATCTGCATGAAGAGAAAGTCCGACTGATGAGATGTATGGGAGCTGTGTCACAACCTGATTTGATCAAGAAAGTCCTAGAGTTCTCAATGTCGGTGAGTCTTGTAGCTTCTGCTTTTAATTCACGCCCATTTGGGTTCAAAAGCTTGACGCCTTCAATGATGGGAGAGGTTTTATTCTTTTGGCAACGTGCAAATTGTTCCTCGTTACTTGAACCTTTTTGTAATAATTACACTGACACAAGAGAGTTCCTCTTGGGTTGTGTTGGTTAGTGCTCCCTGTTACAAAGGTGTCCACTTTTCTTGGCAAAAACAAACAAATAAACAAGAAATCAAATCAAAAAGAAACAAACAAGCAAATCACTAAAATCGAACACTGTTTGCTCAAGAATGTTCAAATGGCCGACAAAACCATGACTGATGTCTAATTTCTCGTTACATTATCACTTTTGAATCAAATGAAAAGGTCACGAGAGTAATAGACATGATCACTAATTAGGGGAGCACCCGATTCTGACACAAATTCTCCTTAGTATTGTAGTAGGAAATATAAACAGAACAGTGTGGAGAATATGAATTCTAATATTAGCGTGTAAAGGGTTAAGAGCCCAAGCAATAAGAGCTCGAATCTGATGAGGAAATTTACGCGCTAATCTCACGATAAAAGTTGCCAACTGTCACTGGGTGACAGCAACGTTTGAATTCATGGTTAGCCTGTGTACTCGATAATTTTCGTTCCTACCAACGCCTGAATTAATGGTTAGCCTGTAAAGTTAACTCGTTATTTCTCGTTGTTAACTATTATTTTGTTTCTTACTGCGCTCTTTTCAGAGTGATGTTCGGTCACAGGATACTGTTTACGTTATCGCTGGTGTAACCGGCAGGTAAGCATTAGGTAGTTAGCAAAGAGATCTGTCTATGTGACGCAAGATTCAGCACTTTGTATCATAAATCAGTTTCAATTTCAATGCTGGCTTGTTTGTATTACCTAGCCCTTGGGTGAGGCACTCGAAAACTGGCCAAGCCGCTTAAGTGTCCCAACAAAATAATGAACTCCGTCAAAGGAAGGATATTAAAGAGTGGAAACAGATGAGATATTTACCAGTTAGGTCGTGGTAAAGGTTATGAACGGTATAATGCAGAAAACAGATTATACTGGCAAACCTACTGTGCCATGCATCGAGCGTTTCCCGTACTGCTGCCGCAAACGTTAGTGTTCTTATTGTACTGTGGTGAAAAGAGTTGAATTAACCTGTCTTTGAGAAGACGAAATAGTAAAATCTGGAGGCGAATATCGCCCCTATGTTTTAATCCCATTCCAAGATTAATCTGGGTACTCCTCCCTTGAATGTTTCCGTATTTCTTGATTGAAACCCAGATTTTTTCATTTTTAAGTTTTCCGATGCGTGAATGTCCGTTACTGGTCTCGGACTGTGCAGTCCGAGACCAGTTAAAACGCATTAAAGCGCTTCAAAAAAAAACCAAACAAAAAAAAAAAACAGTCAGAAACAAAAACAGTCAGACGAAAAAACAAAATAACGAAACAAAAATCCAGATATACAAATTTTCCTTGTATTTCCTTTGTTTGTTTTTATTTTTAGTTTAGCAGGGCGTGAACTCGCGTGGCGGTTTGTCGAAGACAATTGGGACAAGCTGTACACCCGTTATGCAGGAGGACTGTTATTCTCTCGTCTCATAAAGGTAACTTTTGTTAAGGAAAAACTGCATGAAGGAAAATTAGTATTATTGATAGGATGAATAAAACCTTTAGCCTCTCTCGGCTAGCGACGCTGAAGAGGTTTCGTTGCCGCAAAGCTAAATTATACGTTTGTCTTTTGTTCTTAGATGACTACAGATTCGTTTGCAACTGAAAAGAGCCTCAACGAAATAAAGGTAAAGTGAAAATATTTGGGTGACGAAGACATTTGTAATAGGGCGAACGCTGACATAAATCAAATCTAACAACGTCATATCGGAGAAATGTTTTATATTGACGGAACCTCCTCGCGTTTATTGAATCTCAATTCGTTTATCAAACTTGAAAGCTCGCAAAAACTGAAATACAATTAATTAAAATAGGCCATTCCCATACAATGTACGCTAATCGAAATGTCCTAAACTCGAACACGCGGGGCGTGTATACGGACTAATCGAAACAACACAAAAATCCTAAGCGAAACAAAACTACCTTTGATTGTACACGTTTCGGTATATGAATACAAAAATTAACAAGATAACATACCTCTTTCCCCGTTCTATCATTCAAATATTTCGACAATCCTTCGATCTATCTTCTCTTCTGAATTGACTTGCAAATCACATGTGTCTCGAGGCCGACTGAAACATAATGCCGACAGTTCGAAAGTATGTCACGCAAAACAAATAGGTATTGAAAGTCACGCAAATAACTAAAACTAGCTTTCGTTACAACATTTTTTTATTTTATGGGTGCTTACGTGCGGCCAGGACTTGATGTTTTCGCTGTATTTTACGAGAGATAACAGGGAGAATTTAAGTTGTGAACACTTTAAACAGCTTTAATCACCTCTTTAAATCTTAGTGCATAAAATGTAATTGTGCCTCGTGGTTTTCCCTTTCGTTTTGCATTCCTTAACTTTCTCTGTATTATGAGCGGATTCTCTTTACACACGCCGAGACTTTTCATATCTCTCAACGAACTACAATATTGAATTGTTGCAAGAAAACAATCGAAGATTCATTCAATGCAGAGAAACAGTCTAAAACATTCTAATGTTACAAAGAAACCGCGGTTTGAACGTGGCTGGTTCGAACAGTCATTTGTGACGGTCTCTGTAATGTTTACTCGGAAATCTGACTTAACTCTATGAGGAGAGATTTCATCGAGTCATTTAACAATTATACGGTGAATTGAACTAGAATCACAAACGGGCACGACTCCTCTGCCTCCCTGTGACCAAGCATCATGATGATTTTAACCATTGAAATTAAGCTGTGGCATAATTTCAAAGCATGGTACGTTCAACGAAACATAATATTGCATAGCTTACCCCTCGTTTAAGTGTTTGTAGCAAAATAAGGGTTTCAGACGCTTTTTAAAATCCTTGGAGCAGTAGATAGAATTGTGCGTTATACAAACCTTTCAAAAAGTAAGAAAGTAAAGTTAACAAACAGATTCCAAGTTGCCGTGCGTCTGTTCAGTAATAGATCACAGATGACGTCAAAATGTGGTAAGAACAAAAAAGTGGCACACGAGGCGCAGCCGAGTGTGTCACTGATATTCTTACCACATTTTGACGTCCTCTGCGATCTACTACTGAACAGACGCACGGCAACTTGGAATCTATTTGTTTTATATAATAAAGAATTAAAAAATATGGAAAAAAAGTTTTAATGATGACGTCATCTATACGCCTGTCCTCCAATAGATCATAAGTGAGAACCAATCAGAATGCGTGCATAACCGAGCTTATTATATAAAAATAAATAGATATTTCAATATCTGATTTATTTAAAAAGAAATCAGTAAATGAATTAAATAAATAACAAATTGCTAAACCATCTGGACTGTCTAAAAATAAAGTTCCCAGACAACAATGAAGATTAAGTTTACGTAACAGATAAACAATCTAATGTTACGGATGAGTTTTTCGATTTTGATTGGTCACGAACAGTTACTTGTGACGGACTTTGTTCAGTTTTCTCGGAAATCGAAATCAATCCCTTCCAGGCGTCAGTTGTTTATTTGATTCGATAACGTCTTTTCGTGTTTGTCGATCGTTATGGAGTCTCTTTTGAAAAACATCAAGCAGCAAGTTACTTGCTCCATTTGTCTGGATACCTTCAATGAACCTAAAATTATATCGTGTTTCCACACGTTCTGCTGCGAGTGTTTGGAGAAACATGCAAGAGTGAGCCAGAAAGAAGGAAAATTTCGATGCCCCGAGTGTCAGGCAGCGATCGATTTACCAGAAGGAAATCGCTTTGACCGTTTGCCCAACAGCTTTTTCCACAAAAGTTTGTTGAGTCTTCTTGCCGTTCGACAAAGTGGTGATGCAAGTAGCATTACTTGCTCTCAGTGCCGGAAAACCAACCCTCAGATGTACTATTGCTTCGACTGCGGACGATTCATGTGCCTTGATTGTTTCAATGCGCATCAATTGCTGAAAGCATCATTTGATGGGCACAAAGTCACGCCAGTTAAAGACCTGAAAGAAGAAGATTACGAAGCAGTCCTAAAGCGACAGCCGTTTTGTTCACAAGAGTTCCACGAGAGAGAAGTCACACGATTTTTTTGCTTGGAGTGTCAAGTTTGCATTTGCCAAATTTGCATAGTTACGGATCATCAAAACCACAAAGTTGTTCTGCTCGACAAAGCAGCTCTCGAAGAAAAGGATAACATCATGTGTGGTGCTAAATTGATGAGGAACAAGGAAAGTGAGCTTTGTGAAGTCATCAGGCAATATGAGGAAACAATTTCGACGCTGGAAAGGAACGTTGCAACAGCTAAGCGAGAGGTCTCGCGAGTAGCCGAAGAAATTATCGCAGAGATTCGAGAGCGCGAGCGAGAAGCAATCGAGTCCCTCGTGGCAACACACGTGTCAATACTTAAGCGGATCAACGCGGCTAAACAGGAAGTGGAATCCCTGATAAAACAAATGAAGCAAGCGGCTGAGTTTGCAGAAAATCTGGTTCAGAATAGGTCGACCTCGGATGTTATGCAGAGCAAGGAAACTTTGAAGCAGAAATTTGAAGAGCTTCGTGGAGTTGAAGTTCCAAAACATCAACAAACGACATTCGTAAAATTTTCTGTGGCACCTCGTTTGGCGGACTGGAAACTGGGTGTTATTGAGGTCACTCCGACAGCAGATGCAAAGCAATCAAGACTTGAAGGACTGGATCAAAGTTTTCAGGCTGGTGTTGAAGCAGAGTTAACCTTATGCGCTAAAACGTCCGAAGGGGAAACGATAAACCAGGGTGATCTCAAAGATCAAGTGGAATTTCTCATAAAACCCGCGAAAGATGTTAATAATGTGTTTGTTAACAAGAGAGAGAACGGCAGTCCTCAGCTAAAGTTTACACCCAAATTTCCCGACTCCTACAGCATTGAAGTAAGGATTAACGGTGATAAACTTCCGACCTGCCCTTATACGTTAAATGTGAAAGAACGTGAACTTGTTACCGTAGGCGAGTTGAACTTGAAGCTCTATCCAAGAGACATGCTTGGACTTTTGAGTGGAATTGCTGTTAATAAGGAAGGTAAATTAGCTATGGTAGATACCAGTAGCCACCTTGTTTATGTTTTTGATAAAGATGGAAACTGTGTGAGAAAACTTGGAAGCGAAGGAAAAAAACCAGGACAATTTAAGCAACCAAAAAGCGTGTCGTATTTAAATGATAAAGAGATTCTTGTAGCAGATTTTGGAAATGATAGAATACAACACATCGATTACCAAACAGGGACTGTCGTGAAAAGTTTTGGACAAAGCGGTTCAAGAAAAGGAGAGTTAAATGGTCCATATGATGTTCGTTTGGATGATGAAGAGCGCATTGTTGTAACTGATTGGGGCAATCATAGAATACAGGTGATGTCAAAAGAGGGAGAATCTATTTTTACATTTGGAGACAAAGGCCCAGAGAAACTCAGCTATCCAACCTGCTGCATTCCTTACAAAAAAATATTTCTCGTATGTGATGGAGTCAATCACTGCATAAAGGCTTTTGATCAGTCAGGAACATTCTTATACAAGTTTGGCAAGAAAGGGAATCAAGATGGAGAACTGAGTTGGTCGAAGTATCTGCTTGTAGACAGCTTCAATAATCTTTTTGTATGTGACACTGGCAATAACCGGGTACAGCAGTTTTCTCTAGACGGTCGCTTCACAGGCAAAAGTATCGCTCATTTGCCATGCCCTTGTGGAATTGTAGCAACACCAGATGGACGTATTCTCGTGGCAAGTGAGCGGGATAATAAAGTATTCATTTTGAAGTAAATATGTTTCAGTCCCGTCTGCTTTTACGGCATACAGGTGGTTTATACGATTTATCGTTTACCAAAACGGTGGATTTCAATTTGACTTATTCCCGTTCCTATAAAAGGGATTAAATTTCGTAAAAAGATACCAAACCGTTTGCTCTTATACAAGCTTACAAATTGCAGAACATTAAGGCTGCAAAACGAAATACTTAGAGGAATACTTGTAAGGTATCTTTAGTTTATCATGTAGTCATTTTTTGGTCTTGTCACGCATCATACGTTTTTCAAGAAGACAACGCCGTGCTTGACAAGACTGAACAACTCAAGGAGACAAGTAAGCAGCATATTAAAATGTTGTGTTACTGATAAGTAAAGCATCTGTCACGTGTTGTAGTGACAGGAGCTGCTCTCAGTCAAGGCTAAATCTTCCTCGCAGTTATTTCTCGGACGTCACGAAATCCGTGATACTAGAGAGCTTTAGATTTAATTACGAGCGCGACTTCGACTACATGTTTTGGCCGAGAGTAGAGTGGCACTAGTCTTTCGTAATCGTCGTCTGCCGTGACGAATTTGCAACTTGCTCCACACAAGAGCGAAGCTTTTTAAGAATCATCAGAATACTTCACAAATAGATGTCAGGCCTTACTGAATACACCTTTTTTACAATTCTCTGCCAAGTCTTTTGTATTCCTAAAAAAGTTTTATCTGGAAAGAGGAGAATTTTGACTTACCTTTCAACTCGTAGTGCGACTACGGGATTTCCAGAAAAACTTGTAGCTAGAGACGAGGCAGCTACGACTTTTTCAGAGTTTGCATGACCTGTCACGTTGTGAGGCATGCGCACTACTCCTAAGGAAGAAATCTCGTATACGTACTCGTACTCGTAGTCAGTTCTAAAGCCCTCTAATGTTAGATTACAACAACAGTGTCCCAGATGAAAACTAGTGATAGATGTGAGTTTCAGTCCAACTCTTATTAATGGATGTTTTTCTCAGTCGTTCCGAGTTCTACTTGTCCATGGCTTGTAAATAGGCAACTGTTTTCGTATATGGCTACTGTCAGCGGTGATTTTGATTATGTTTCTGGAAGATTATCAGAGAGGATTTCCTTTATAATTAGTTAGGCTGGATTCGTTAGGTGCCATTGAATTATGTAAAGATAAGTGACAAGTTTTTCATTTTTATAGCTCTTAACGTCACCATATTTTGTTAATGTAGCTGCTTTTGATTGACGCGTGAAATTTGTGCAAGGTTTTTAATTTACTACGTTTCACAAATTTGTATATAATTTTTACAGTATTTGCCTAGGGTTAGTGTAACTAGCTTTTCTATCTTTTTTGATCATTAATATTTCTGTACACAATATAGATCAGAAATCCCAGTGTTTCCCCGTGTTACGGAAATTGTGAGGGATGTTCAGTTTATAAGTTCAAGTGACGAGTTGTGATTTATTGATTTTAAGTTTAGATATGGAGTCGTTCCTTTTGTAAGGGATATGATGCAGTTTGTCAATTTCTGTACATGACTTTTTCTTTGGTATTAAACTGATCATAATGAAGAGTCTTCCTTTGTTATCTTTTTGTTTGCCTGCGGTCTCCCTTTTTTCTCCCCAAGGATAACAGTAGGAAGTTTTTTCGTAATTTTAAATCAATTTTAATGACTAAATGATTTAACTTAAGACTACAATTGTAAATGTTGATCGAAATTTTAACTTGAGCTCGTAAAGTTTTAGGTCAAAATCTCTTTAAAAAACTAATGTTCTCAAACGTAAACAACATTCCACTGCTTATTTTATTTCTTTTTTAGGGGGGGGGGGGCTTTAAGAAAATTGTGGAGAATAACCTATATTACCCTTAAATTTCTTTATAAAAAGGAAAATTGGTCTATTTTAAATTTATTATTAATGGTTTGCCATAACAATGTCATATGTGTTAAATCGTGTATACTGATGGAAAAGGGTTGGATAGAAGGAGTCCGCTGCAGTTTTTGCTTCCTCACTACCTCCCGATTCAAGTTGACGATTTCTTTTGGGAAGTTTGAAACTTTGCAGTTCGTCCCGTGCGGCTGAATGCATGGGATTACGCATTAAGAGAAGAATTGTAGCCCTTTTCCCCCCCCCCCCCCCCTACGAATGAGTCATGATCATGAGATCGTGTCATGACGGCATCATCGTGGCAATTGGAACGGTAATTCGTCAGCGGAAACCGTGTATTGAAACGGAGAAAGTTTTACATGTGTATATTTGACAAAATGTATTCTAGGCTGATTGGAAAAAGTATTCGTCTCAAAGTTTATTAGCAACAGTAATTTTCAATATGATGGAAATTATACAATTTGACAAAATGTATTCTTCCAGGCCCGATTGGAAACGAGGGCAATTTGGAAAATTTCGTCTCAAAATTTATTAATAGTACAGGTCTCAATTTTTTATACAAGGAAAATCATGAGTCTATTTTTATCTAAGCAACGGATTAGCAATCAAATTAGCCAATCAACAACAGGTAATCATGCCTTCTCTTGATTACTAAAAATGCCCTCGATTAAGAAAAAAAAATGCTGGACTTTTGCCATTGATAACAAGTAATTGCCAAATTCATAGGGCTGGACTCAGTGATCTACCAAACAGCTTCCAATGTAAAGAGAGCTTCAAAACCTAAGCGACGCATCTTCTGATTGTTCTATTTTTTTTGTTTATTGACGACAGGATTTCTTTTACAAGCACTCCGTACCAAACGCCCAGCGAACTGTTCAACAATCACTGGAGAACATACACCTGAATATCACATGGTTATCACGTGATGCAGACCGTGTAAGAGCCTGGCTTCAAGGCAAGGGATATTAGAGGAGCTCGCTCATGGTGCAAGAATAATTTACGATCCGTATAATTTCTCTTCATCACTGACCACCCTCATATTACTTTCTTTCTTATTACATATCGTTTGCTTTTTCCTGTAGATAACCTAAGATTTTGTTTTGATTGGAAAAAAAAATTTAGGTTGCATTAACGTAGCATGTTTGCAACGAGATCAGTTCTTTAATGAGGAATAAAAGTTGTTATCGTTGGCTGAACCATAATGTGTAACCATTCGTTTGTAACAGTCTTAAGGAGGGCTCTAAGGAATTGCATCCAAGTTTGGTTGCAGAGTGTTTACAATATTCTATCTGGTCAGTCAAGGAATGAAGTGTTATATAGATCTGTTCCACTGTTCATTAATTAACAAAAATGCTTAGTGCTTAAATGAATCTAACAGTTTCACTCAAAATTCTGAGCTGATTTAGCCAATACAAATAGTTATTGTCGTAGTTTTAACATGTTCGTAATACTATGAAGTGAGTTCGCTTTAGACCATTCTGCGCGTATCTTCCCATTCCTTTATCGTCCCTAATCCCTTGATGGATTTCCCATTTGCTTCCGATATTGTTCGTGCGCACCCCAAATCGACTGATTTCCGGCCTTGTTCATATGTTAATGACGACAGCCATAATTCGGAGGGTGAAACCGTAGATAATTTTTGGCAGCTTCCTTATGACGTTGGAAGCCTTTGCATCTTTTTGCAACTAAAGAACGACCTACCAAAGTCATAAAATCGTAAATTCCTAGAACCAGACCAAGCAATCTTGAAGTCTCAATAGATAATGTAGTCCTTGAGACAGAAAAGTTGATCCTTAACTGAACTCGAGAGTGTCCTCAATGGCCTCACTTAACCGGACTAGGTCAGTAACTACCATTATAGTTGGAATGTATTATAGGTTAGAACGTAAATTGGTATTTATAAAATATCGCATGTTTCTTTGAAAGTGGGCTTTTTGACATTGACTGATAAAATATCATTTTATCAACAAAACCAACTTGAGGTCCGAGCGTTGTATAGCACAGTTCTTAAGCATGATGATGGTAACACCTTATAGTCTGTGATGAAACTGTTTAAAGAAGCTGATTTACCGGAAGAGAAAGTCCGATCAATGAGATATGGAAGCTTTATCACACACTGATCTGATCAAGAAAGTCTTGGAGTTCTCAATGTCGGTGAGTCTTGTAGCTTCTGCTTTTAGTTCACATCCATTTGGGTTCAAAATCTTGATGGAGTGAAAGGTTTTTTTCTTAAAACGTACAAATCAATCCACGATGCATTTTTCTACTTGTAAGTTTTTCTGATACAAAAGTTTTTCTTGGCTAACGTTGTCAGAAGCTCCCAGTTACAAAGATATCCACTATTCTTGGATAGAAGCAAACAAACAAGAAAATAAAAAAACAAACAAACAAGTAAATCATGGAAATAAAATATTATAAACAGGCCAACAAAAACATGTGAAAATAAGAAGGACTGACTTCTAATGTCTCCTTACGGTGTCGTCCTTGTAACAATTGTAACGGTGATGAGAATAATAGGCATGATCACCAATCAGTGGGGTTCTTGATTGTGACACAAATTCTCCCTCAGTACCCTAAGAAATGTGTAGCGAACAGTGTGGAGAATATGGATGCTAGTGATCGGCTATAAGGGTCAAGAGCCTATGCAATAAGAGATTGGCAAAAGTTGCTAACTGTTAGTGGGTGACCTGTGTTTTCCAGCATTCACTCTGAGATAGGGGAAAAGGGAGAAGCAATGTTTAAATTAATGGTAATCCTGTGTACTCGCTACTTTTTGTTCCTAACCACATGTATTGTTTTTTTTTTTAATTTTCTTTCACGCTTTTTAGACTGATGTCCGGTCATAGGATACGGTTTTCGTTATCGCTGGTGTAACCGGCAGGTAGGCATTAGGTATTTAGTAAAGGGATCTGTTTATTAGCTTAATAATGTATCATAAATCGGGTTCAGTTTCAAGACTCAGTTTTCAGCTTTATTTTCTTTACTTGTTTTCGTTTTTAGCTCAACAGGGCGTGAACTCACCTGGCAACTTGTTCAAGACTATTGGGACGAGCTGTACACTCGCTATGCCGGAGGGTTGTTATTCTCTTGTCTGATTAAGGTAACTTTAACCCTTTAATCTCTGGGAGTGATCAACATCTAATTTCTCCTTACAGTAATATGACTGAATCATTCATTAAGATCATGAGAATAAAGGAAATGATCACCACCCAAAGAAGCTTTGATTGTCCAACAAAATCTCCTTGTTAGTACTAAAGGAAACGCGTCGAAAAGAGTACAGAGAATGCGGATACTGACTGGACGGGGTAAGGAAAGGGTTAAAGAAACTTCATTAAAAAATTTTTTTCTAAGAAAAGAAAAATAAAAAGATTTTTTCCCAGAGGTTTCGTTGCCGCAAAGCTTTATACCTTAGATGACCCCAGATTCGTTTGCCCCCTAAAATTATAGTAAAAAATTTAGAATTCCGAGACATAAATTTTTCCATGCATCATGCGAGGTATTACCTGGTGTTACATGATATTCTCCCAAAGGGGGAAAAAATATTTCGAACAAATCGAGAATTTACGTTGAACATTTTCTTTGATCCTTGTATAAATCTCGTCGACGAATTGCAATATCTGACTGTCCAAATGAAAATAATGGAACGTAAAACCCTGTTATACGCCCTAACTTTCGTTTTGAATTCCTTGACTTTCCCCATCGTTTCTTTAGAAAATCGTACACATATTTTCATTCGATTCATATGTTTTGAAAATAAGGTTCAACCCAACAATGGAAAATTTCTTTAGAAAAAACGCAATTTATTCATTCAAATGAAATAAGGTTCAAGGCAACAATGGAAAATTCCTCAAATACAATAGATAAAAAAAAAAAAATCTAAAGAAACTGTGGTGCTGCGTGGGTGGGAGAGTATAGCAGGTAATTTGGTGTTAACAACTGAGTTGAAAACGTAAATTAGCCACCGTAAAGGGTAAAAAAGCTGACGTTTCGAGCGTTAGCCCTTCGTCAGAGCTAAGACGTCTGACGAAAGGCTAACGCTCGAACCGTCAGCTTTTTTACCCTTTACGGTGGCTAATTTACGTTTTCAACTCAGTTGTTAACACTAAATTACCTGCCATAGATAAACAGTCTAATTTTACCTGCACAAAGAAACTGTTTAAACGTGATTGGTTCAAGCAGTCGTTGATGACAGACTTTATTATGTGTAGTCGGAAATCCGAAAAAAATATTCTATGAGGAGAGATTTAATTTATTCGCTCTTTACGGTGGATTAGCAAAATCTAGTGAATTTAACTAAAAACACAATCGGACACGACTCCTCTGCCCCTTGTGACCAAGAATCATGATGATTTTTAACTGCTGAAGCATAGCTGTGACATAATTTGATAGCCATGGCAAGTTCAACGGAAACACACTATTGCATACCTGAACCCTCGTTAAAGTGTTTGTACAAAATGTCTAAAGGGTTTTAGTCGCTCTTTTAAATCCTTGGAGCAGGATATAGAATTGTGCCTCATGCAAACCTTCAAAAATTATCTGAACAATTAAATAGATGAATAGATATTGAATAAATCGGTAGATAAATAAAACAAACCATCATCAAAATTTTAATAACTCGATGCGGCTCACTCAATTTCGCAGTGAGTCTTTGCGTTATTTTCACGAATATTAAAAGAGAAGCACTGTAGCTTTTTATTATCTGACAAAACGCTAAACCATCTGGACTGTTTAGAATTAAAGCTCTCAGAAAAAAATGAAGATTAATTTTACGCCACAGATAAACAATCTAATGTTGCAGACGAGCTTTTCGATCTTGATTGGTCACCATCAGCTGCTTGTGACTGACTTTGTTCTGTTTTCTCAGAAATGTAACTCAATCCCTTTAGGCGTCAGGTGTTTATTTTATTCGATGGCGTCGTTTCGTTTTTGTCGATCGTAATGGAGTCTCTTTTGAAAAAATCAAGCAGCAAGTTACTTGCTCCATTTGTCTGGATACCTATAATGAACCTAAAATTATATCGTGTTTCCACACGTTCTGTTGCGAGTGTTTGGAGGGACATGCAAGAGAGAGCCAGAAAGAAGGAAAATTTCGATGCCCCATGTGTCAAGCAGCGATCGATTTACCAGAAGGAAATCACTTCGACCGTTTGCCCAACAGCTTTTTCCACAACAGTTTGCTGAGTCTCCTATCTATTCGACAAAGTGGTGATGCAAGCAGCATTACTTGCTCTCAGTGCCGGAAAACCAACCCTCAGATGTACTATTGCTTCGACTGCGGAAGATTCATGTGCCTTGATTGTTTCAATGCGCATCAATTGCTGAGTGCAACATTTGAAGGACACAAAGTCACGCCAGTTAAAGACTTTGGAGTAGAAGATTACGAAGCAGTGCTAAAGCGACAGCCATTTTGTTCACAAGAGTTCCACGAGCGAGAAGTCACACGATTTTTTTGCTTGGAGTGTCAAGTTTGCATTTGCCAAATTTGCAGAGTAACGGATCATCAAAACCACGAAGTTGTTCTGCTCGAGAAAGCGGCTCTCGAAGAAAAGGATAACATCATGTGTGGTGCTAAATTGATCAGGAACAAGGAAAGTGAGCTTTGTGAAGTTGTCAAACAGTTTGAGGAAACAATTTCGAAGCTGGAAAGCAACGTTGTAACAGCTAAGCGAGAGGTCTCGCGAGTAGCCGAAGAAATTATCGCGGAGATTAGAGAGCGCGAGCGAGAAGCAATTGACTCCCTCGAGGCAACACGCGTGTCAATACTAGAGCGGATCAACTCGGCTAAAGAGAGGGTGGAATCTCTGGTAAAACAAATGAAGAAAGCTACTACGTTTGCAGAAAATCTGGTTCAGAATGGCTCGAGCTCAGATGTTATGCAGATCAAGGAAACTCTGGAGCAGAAATTTAAAGAACTTCGTGGAGTTGAAGTTCCTAGACATCAGCAAGAGACATTCGTTAAATTTTCTGAGGCACCTCGTTTGGTGGATTGGAAACTGGGAGTAATTGAGGTCACTCGATTAAGTCTTGAAGGACTGGATCAAAGTTTTCAGGCTGGTGTAGAAGCGGAGTTGACGTTATACGCTGAAACATCCGAAGGGGAACCGATAAGCCGGAATGATCTCAAAGATCAAATTGAATTTCTCGTAGAACCCGTGAAAGATGTTACAAATGTGTTTGTTAACAAGAGAAAGAACGGCTGTCTTCAGTTGAAGTTTACACCCAAATTACCCGGTCCCTACGGCATCGAAGTGAAGATTAATGGCGATAAACTTCCGATTTGCCAATATGCATTAAATGTGAAAGAACGAGAACTTGTTATCGTTGGAGAGTTGAACTTGAAGCTCTTTCCAGGAGACACGCTTCTCTCTCTGAGTGGAATTGCTGTTAATAAGAAAGGTCAGATAGCTTTGGTAGATGATGAAGGCCACTGTGTTTATGTATTTGATAAAGATGGAAAGTGTGTGAGTAAAATTGGGAGCCAAGGGGAAGAACAGGGACAATTTGAGCAACCAAAAGGCGTGTCGTATTTAAATGACAAAGAGATTCTTGTAGCAGACTTTGGAAATGATAGAATACAACACATCGATATCCAGACAGGGACTGTCCTGAAAAGCTTTGGACAATTGGGTTCAGGAAAAGGAGAGTTAAATGGTCCGTATGATGTTTGTTTGGATGATGAAGAGCGCATTGTTGTAACAGAGTGTGGCAATCATAGGATACAGGTGATTTCGAAAGAGGGAGAATCTATTTTTACATTCGGAGACAGAGGCCCAGAGAAACTCAGCTATCCAATCAGCTGCATTCCTTACAAAAACATGTTTCTTGTATGTGACGGAGGCAATCATTGCATAAAAGCTTTTGATCAGTCAGGAACATTCTTGTACAAGTTTGGTAAAGAAGGGAATCAAGATGGAGAATTGAATGAGCCGCATCATCTGCTCGTAGACAGCTCCGATAATCTTCTTGTATGTGACCCTCAAAATAATCGCGTACAGCAGTTTTCTCTCGACGGTCGCTTCACAGGCAAAAGTATCACTGTTCTATGCCCTCGTGAAATTGTAGCAGCACCAGATGGACGTATTCTTGCAGCAAATTGGACGAATAGTAAAGTATTCATTTTGAAGTAGATATGTTTTTAATCCAGTCCGCTTTTACGGCATACAGGTTGTTTATACAATTAGTCTTTTACCAAAACGAAGGAACACAACTTCAATTTCTACAAAAATGATTTGAATAACGTAAAAAAGATAAAAAAAACCTTTTGTTTCTATTCAAGCTTACAAATTGCAGAGCGTTGAGATTGAATAACCAAATACTTAGAGGACTTGTAAGTACCTTTAGGTTATTTTACAGTTGTTTTTTGGTCTTGTTATGCATTATGCTTTTTCGGAAGACAAGGCCTTGCTTGACAAGACTCAGTAACTCGTAGTAAAGGAGACAAGTGAGCAGCATATGAAAAAGTAGTGTTCCTGATAAGCCGTAAAGCATATGTCACGTTGTAGTAACAGGAGCTGCTCTTCAAGGTTAAATCTTCCTCGCAGTCATTTCTTGGATGTCGCGAAATCCGTGATACTGCGACATTACAACAGTGTCCCTGATGAAAACTACTGATAGATGTGAATCAGTGAATTCGTTTATATTTTACTGAAGCACCATATAATATATTACTTTATAGCTATTATAGCTCTTCCAGCATATGTGCGCAGCTTATTGGTTAGCGTATCTTACTGAGATTTTGAGGTCCCGTGTTCGAATCCAACTCTTATTAATGGATGTTCTTCTCAGTAGTACCGAGTGCTACTTGTCCATGGCTTGTAAATAGGCAACTGTTCTTGTGTATGGCTACTGTAAGCGGCGATTTTGATTTTGTTTCTGGAGGATTATTAGAGAGGATTGCCTTTAGTTAAACTGGATTCGCCAGATGCCATTGAATTATAAATAGATAAGTGATAAGTTTTCATTTTTATCGTACAGCTCTTAATATCACCATATTTTGTTTATGTAACTGCTTTTGATGAACGGGTGAAATTTGTGCAACGTTTTCATTTTGCTACGTTTCGCAAACTGGTATATGATTTTTACAATATTTGCTTGTCGTAGTTCAGTAAAACTAGCTTTTAATCTTTTTTTTGATCTTTAATTTTTCTGCACACGATATAGATCAGAATTCCTACCGTTTCCTCGTGTTAAGGAAAGTGTGAGGAATATTCAGTTCATGAGTTCAAGTGACGAGTTTTTAATTACGGGTTTCAATTTAGATTAGTAGAGTCGTTACTTTTGTCAGGGGTATGATGTAGTTTATCGATTTCTGTAAGTGACTTTTTGTTGGTATTAAACTGATCATAATGAATGTGTCTTCCTTTGTTATCTTTTGGTTTGCTTGTGGTTTCCTTTTTTTCTTACCAAGGATAACAGTAGGCAGGTTTTTCCTAATTTTAAATCAATTTGAATGACTAGAGGGCCTAACAAAAGACTAAAATTGTAAATCTTGATCGAAATTCTTACTTGTGTTAACTCGTACTAAGAAAGATACTTACACTGTTAGATAGAAGGATTCGGCTGCAGTTTTCGCATGTTTCTTTGAAAGTGAGCTTTTTTAAAATGACTGATAATACATCGTTTGTTGCTTTTTGTCGACAACAAGTAACCAAAATATTGCCAACACAAAATCAAAAGTTTCTCCAGACCCTCCGGAGGGATTATAAACTTTATCGTCTGTCCCATCAGCTCTAGGCGACGCACAAAGGCCATACTGTATACCAGTGGGATAAGTATAGGACGACTTATTAGCGCGCTAAATTGAGAGGTCTGGGTCAAGTCTGGGCAGCTGGTCTGGTCATTGGATTGTTTCAGACATTGTGCTGAGACTGACTCTCAACACCCAGGAGTGAAAATAGGCGGCAGAAAACTGTCAGGGCAGCCTGACAAAAGGCGTGTGAAGGGTGTTACTTTTGGTAGATCATTATTGTAACTTAAGAAAAGAGAGCCGCAGTAGTCTTAGTTCCTTCATGACAGAGAACGTGGCAACATTCTCTAAGAATGCAGTGCCCCTGGTGCCGACTTTTAACCTGTACTAGAATAATGGGTTTAATTGTCAACTATTGTCCTAAGTCATTTGGATGCGCTTTTGAGAGGCCTGGTGTTGGGTTGAATGGGACGTAGTGGTGATCAAGCAACCCTCGCCGAGGCGCGCAAGAGATTTGAAGCGCACTGCAAAGGTGAATCCACCGTCCCGGTATACTTGAGGGGAGCGGTGTATAGCACAGTTCTTAGGCATGGTGTTGTTAACACCTTAAGACTCTGTGGTCAACTGTTGAAAGAAGCTGATCTGCATGAAGAGAAAGTCGGATTGATGAGATGGATGGGAGCTGTATCACAACCTGATCTGATCAAGAAAGTCTTGGAGTTCTCAATGTCTGTGGGTCTTATAGCTTCTGCTTTTAATTCACATTCATTTGGGTTCAAAATCTTGATGCCTTCAATGGTGTGAAAGTTTTTTTTTTCTGAAACGTACAAATCATTCCACGATGCATTTTACCTTCTCATTTCAATAGTTTTCCTGATACAAAACAGTTCATCTTGGCTAACGTTGCCAGACGCTCTTAGTTACAAAGATATCCACTATTCTTGGCAAAAAGCAAACAAACAAACATGAAAAATCACGGGAATTGAATGTTATAAAAAGGCCAACAAAACTATGTGAAAAGAAGAGGGACTGGTTTCTAATGTCTCCTTACGGTGTCACTCTTGTAACAAATGTAAAGGTGATGAGAATAACATACATGATCACCAATTAGTGCGGATCTTGATTGTGACACAAATTCTCCCTGTCAGTATCCTAGTAAATGTATAGCAAGCAGTGTGGAGAATATGAATACTAATGATCAGTTATCAAGGGTCAAGGGCGTGGCAAATAAGAGCTCGGCAAAAGTTGCTATAACTGTTAGTGGGTGACCTGTGTTTTCCAGCATTCACTCCAGGTAGGAGAAAAGGGAGAAATAATGCTTGAATGAATGATAACTCTGTGTACTTGCTACTTTTTGTGCCTGACTACATGAATTTTATTTTTTAGTTTTTTTTTACGTTTTTCAGACTGATGTCTGGTCACAGGATACGGTTTTCGTTATCGCTGGTGTAACGGGCAGGTAAGCTTTAGGTATTTAGTAAAGGGATCTGTTTATTAGCTTGATACTTGATTAACAGAGCGTAAACTTGCCTGGCAATTTGTCCGAGACAAATCGGACGAGCTGTACACTCACCGATGATGCTGGAGGGTTGTTGTTCTCTCGTCTGATTAAGGTAACTTTAACCATTTAAACCCTGAGAGTGACCAGCATCTAGTTTTTTTTTAGGGAAGAAAAGTCTTCTAATAAATGGAGCAAATAAAAAGTTGAGCCTGTCTGTGCTTGCGATGCTACAGAGGTTTCGTTGCCGCAAAGAAGAATTGTACGTTTGGTCTTTTGTTCTTAGATGAATACAGATTCGTTTGCAACTGAAAAGAGCCTTTAGGAAATAAACGTAAAATGAAAAAATTATAGCATGATCGAGATATATATTTTTTCCATATTAGTTACATATTAGTTATCTGCCCTTATACGTTAAATGTGAAAGAAAGTGAACTTATTACTGTAGACGAGTTGAACTTGAAGCTCTTTCCAGGAGACACGCCTCATTATTTGACTAGAATTGCTGTTAATGAGAAAGGCGAGATAGTTGTGATAGATAGCAATGACCACTGTGTTTATGTATTTGATAGAGATGGAAACCGTGTGAGAAAAATTGGAAGCCAAGGAAAAGAACTAGGGCAATTTGAGGTCCCAACAGGCGTGTAGTATTTAAATGATAAAGAGATTCTTGTGGCCGTTAGTGAAAATAGTAGAATACAACACATCGATAACAAGAAAGGGACTGTCGTGAAAAGCTTGGGGACAAAGAGGTTCAGGAAAGGGAGAGTTTGATGTTCAACTCGATGTTTGTTTGGATCATGAAGAGCGCATTGTTGTAACTGAATATGGCAGTAATAGGATACAAGTGATGTCAAAAGAGAGAGAATCTGTTTTTGCATTCGGAGACAGAGGCCCAGAGAAACTCAGTAATCCAACCTCCTGCTTACAAACACATGTTTCCTGTATGTGATGGAGGCAATCAGTGCGTAAAAGTTTTTCATCAGCCAGGAACATTCTTATACAAGTTTGGCAAGGAAGGGAATCAAGATGGAGAGTTGAATTGGCCATATTATCTGCTTGTAGACAGCTCCGATAATCTTCGTGACACAGACAATGACCGGGTACAGCAGTTTTCTCTAGACGGTCGCTTCACAGGGGAAAGTATCACTCGTTTGCCAAAACCTTTGGAATTGTAGCAGCACCAGATGGACGTATTCTTGTGGCAAGTGGGCAGGATAATAAAGTATTTATTTTGAAGTAGATATTTTTCAATTCCGTCTGCTTTTACGGCATACAGCTGGTCCATACAATTAATCTTTTGCGAAAACGGAGTGTTTAGCTGTGTATTCTGATGGAGAAGGGTTGGATAGAAGGAGCCGGCTATAGTTTTTGCATCCTTGCTACCTCCCGATTCAACCTGACGATCTCTTTCGGAAATTTCAAAATTTGCAGTTTGTCACGTGCGGCTGAATGCATGGGATTACCCATGAAGAGAACAATTATAGCCCTCTTCCCCTTCCCCCCCACGAATGAGTCATGAGATTGTCATGGTGGTAAATAAGACAGTAATATGTCAGCGGAATCCGTGTATTGAAATGGAGAAAGTTTTTCGTGTGTATATGTGACAAAACCTAGTTTTGGCTGGTAAGAAAAATGTATTCATTTCAAAGTCTACTAACAATGATAATTTTCGATATGATGGAAGTTAGTTCAATCAAACTTGTAACAATAGTGCTGGACGCATTGATCTATCAAACAGCTCCTAATGTAAAGAGAGCTTCAAAACTTAAGCAACGCGTCTCTTGATTGTTGCACTTTTTTTAGTTTATTGACGGCACTCCGTACCAGAACATACGCCTGAATATCACATGGTTCTCACGTGATGCAGATTGTGTAGATCTGCACCACGTTTCTGTAATTAAATTAAATGCTTTGTGCTTAGATAAATGTTACAATTTTACGCAGAATTTTCAGAGCTGATTTAGCCAACACAAATAGTCGTACTTTTAACATGTTTGTAATACAACGAAGTGAGCTCACTTCAGACCATTCCTCACGCATCTCCCCAGTTCGTCCTTGCTTGATTTGCCATTAACGTCCGATAATGTTCGTGCGCACTCCAACTCGACTGATTTTCGGCAGTGTTCATAAGTCAATGACGGCAGCCATAATTCGGAGAGTGAAACCGTATATCATTTTCGGTAACTTCCTCATGACGTTGGAAGCCTTTGCATGTTTTTGCTACTAAAGAATGACCAACCTCAGTCGTATAATCTTAAATTCCCAGAACTATACTGAGCAATCTTGAAGAGTTTATAGACAATGTAGTCCATGAGACAGAAAAGTTGAATACTGCCTTAGTTAAACTGAAGTTGATATAGATTGTTGTTTCTCTCTCAAATTACGTTAATAACTACCATTTTTGTTGGAACGTATCATAGGTTAGAACTTTAATTCGTATCTAAAATATCGCATGTTTCTTTGAAAGTGGGCTTCTTGACTTTGATCGATAAAATATTGTTTGTTAATGTTTGTTGATAACAAGTAACCGAAATATTACCAACACAAAATCAAAAGAGGAAACAAAATAGTTTTTACGACGTTTAATAAAACTGACAAGAGACAGAGATTTGTTGGCTTATTTTCATGCCTTCGATTGTTAATTTTAATAGGTGTGGAGATCTAGCATGGTGAAGCAATATAATTGATAAATGGAGCCATTGTTTTCCATACTTAGTCATTAATATTTGTTTTTTTTCTAACCTCGTCAGTGCCAACTCATACCTTTGCAAAGGCTTACACAATGATTAGATGTTTCAAAACAAAGGAAAACATTTTAAAATAAGCTTGCTGATAAAGAAAAAATAAATGTCGTCTTGCTGAAACTCAATCTACTCACGTACAGAAAATTAGACCCTTTCTAATTGAGTATCATGGATGTAAAACTAAAGGAATCACAAAAGTTTACCAGAACAACTGAAAATTTCTCAACTTGCTGATGAGAACGTTAAGTGAGTACAGGAAGCCTATGGAGACCAGCCTTGAAGCTGAATGAGCTACCCTGTGTAAATAAAGTTTTGCTTTACTTTACTTTACTTTAGTGTTTTGGTTATCGTCTGACATCGAATTGGTTCCTTACGTGATGCAATTTTTCTTTACTAATCAAGCAGACTGCTGAAGTAAATTAAAACCATTGTCATTCCGACCGGATAACTCTAAACATTCAATTGAAAACGGTTCCTTCACATTTAAGGACCTTAAGCAACCAGGACGGCAGTCTTAAGGAAGATGTCGATTAAAAAATTAATTTCTATTTTTAGTTATAAAACCTCGAAAATGGCTACGTGTATTTACTTTTTCTTACGGCGCAAAACTTCGACTTTAGCATAACATAAATATAATTATAACCAGCTTTGAGACCCAATTGGAAATTGAAATAATTTGCCGTCGCAAATTTCCGTCGGTTCGCAGACGACGAAAATTTCGGTGATTTCATGTTGTTGATTTGCAAAAGACGGCGAAGAAATGTACAAGAAAGAAAGTAATGTAAGTTTTTTAAAGACGCACGTGCTAAACTATTGTTCTACTTATGAGATCTTTTGTAGTTTGCTTAAGGCCCTTAGAAGTGAATGGTGCAGTTAGACTCTCGCCTCTTCCACTTACTCTGTGTGAAATCTTATCTTAAATCTGTGGCTAAAAGGGTTCAATTTTAATGGGGAATAGACTAGATCAACTCAGTTGATAGAGACGTAAGGATCTCAGATTGGTTATGAGTACGCATATGAGATTCTCGGGTATTGAAACAATGCGTGGACGCGAGCCAGCGTCCTAAAACGGGAGTCCCTCTTCAACTGTCTCCACTGTTTATTCAAGATTTGTAAAGAGACGAAAACAATTTGGCTAAACGATCCTAAATAGTTTTTACACTTTGCGATTAGAGATAAGGGGGTTAGCTTTTACATTAAGATAAAAGTTATAAGAAATCTCCTATTTTTAGGGTTGCAATTTGGTAGAGAAAATGGCTTTCTTTTAAGATTTCATTTTTAATGGGAATCGTGAGCTAGCGTTCGATAGGTTGTTGCAAAGGAACAAGTGAGTCTTACGATCATTTTAAATTTTCCCTTCTCGCTGGTTTACATTCCCTTCAGTAAAAAAAAAAAACGAAGAAAATCTGGCTGTTTGTTAAGATGTAACATCCTAACTGATACTCTTACGTCTGTTATAAGCGGAAGGTTAGATGTTCACTCCAGCGAATTTAAGAATTAAGAAGTGGGAAAGGTCAGAAAAAAAACAGAAATCTGTGACTTTTTTAGATCAAATGTGTAACTCAAAGCATGATACATCAATATTCACTGTTATGCGCCAAAGGAATAAAGCTGATGAAGCTTAATAAGACTTTAAAAGTTCCTTTAATTTTGCAAAATAACTTACTGTGATATCCAATACGCGTGGTCTTTAATATTCATCCTAAAATCTAAAAGTTCTTAAAATTGTCTAGGTCCACTACTTGTTAACAGGTTTTTACGCCATTTCTAGAGCGAAATTTAGTTGTATTACTGGTGTTCGCTGGTCCGACCGTGTTACTCTGAGGCGAGAGGTCCAGATATAATCGCTTGTTTTGACCAACAAGGCGGTATAAGTATATTATGCTCAAGTCACGGGTATCGTTGATAGTGTAGATGACAGTATCACTGTTTTGAGTTGGCTGCAAAATAAAAGCAGATTCCTTTTATATCTAAAAGATAGCACGAAGGCAGTAAGGGGGGGGGGGGGTTGAGTTGAGTTGGGTATTCCTCGATAAGGTCTATGAAGTGTATGGCTCTCGAGAGGGTTTTTTTTCCAACTTAAGTGATATCTCACGGTTCATATGTAAAGTTTACAAGTAGCAGTGTTTGAAAGTGTGGGAATTTTTAGTCAGTTATGGATACAGTCTTTTCATGTTATGATACAGTCTTTTCAAACACGAGGAAGAGTGTTTCATGAAAAACATAAAGTGTTTGAGAAAACATTTTTTTAACCAACTTCAAGGTGTTTGGATATCGGATGAAACACCCTTCGGTTTAAGAAACCATTAATAATTCTTGGGAAAATCAAAGTAAAAGTTCACCAGATTTTATGATAATTAAGATCACATATCCAAATCTCCTTCACGGTTGTAATTTCCTTTGTTTTCTCTCTAAGCTTAATTTATGATCAGAGCCTAGCAAAGGGCATTGGTTCAGATGTTTGGTGCGTTATTCTGTCACGCTTGCGAGAACTTTCTACGCATGCGTATTGATATATATATTTTTTCAATGATAGTAAAAAATTTTTTTCCTTTTTCCTTTTATATGACCGACACACCCTGGTGACCTTTATTTTTAGTGCCTGCTTTTGTTTCTTGGGGTTTCTTTAGCGTTAGCCATAAATAGACTGGACATTTTAGTGAGTTCTCTTGAAAAAAATTGCAGTTCCTGCAATTGAAAATGTTCAACTTATATTTCCAAATTCGTGTCCAATTTTTTTGTACGAGACTGATTTTAGGTTTGGTTTTATAGAGTGAGTTTCTTATGTAAATTTACCACTGTTAACAGTTCTAAAGCTGACGTTTCGAGCGTTAGCCCTTCGTCAGATAGAACCTCTTTACTGGGCCAATTTACTTCATCAACTCAGCTGATAAAGATACCCCCCCCCACCCCCTCACCGACACAGCACCAGAGTTTTTTTAGAAACGTATGCCTTTTCCCACCCTTAATTGAATCTTTGGATCTTGGTAGCTCGTATTTTCATCAAACTTGTTATTTCTCAGGGCCAGATTGTTCCAAACCACGGTTTACCCAATGCGGGGTTAGTGTAAATATTTCATTTAGTTTTATAGCTCTGCAAAGGGATTTTTTTTTTCGTATTTTTCTTCCATTAGTTTCGAGTCAAAATCTTAACATTATACGCACTCTTCTGCGTGAGAAATTAAAGCCAAGGTTACGTTTAATCCTAGATTAACGTTAACACCCTCTCGAACAACCTGGCCCCGCAGAATATTACCACCCAATAATTGCCTTCTTACCGACATATAAACGGTTCCGTTTGGGTCGATGGCTAAGTACTTTTGAGTTGCCTTATTCCTGTAAAATGGTAGGCCACCTGGAGTCCTTCCTACTTCAAATATGCCTGCATTGAAAGACCAATAATGAAAACAGCATATTAATAATGTGAAACTCAATATGAGAAATCGTTTGGTAAGACTATTCCTTTTACATCTTCTGTCACTTTAAACCCTAAAAATTACCAGTATCTAATTTCTCCTTACAGTTATACGGCTGAATAACTCATTAAGATCATGAGAATAACAGAAATGATCGCCGACCTAGGGAGCTTTTGATTTTTCAACGACTTCTCCTTGCAATACGCAAAGAAAATGTATAGAGTTGTACGCAGAATATGGATTCTGATGTTATGGTGTAAAGGGTAACTGTAAACAAACTTAACCGACAGAAACAGTTACTTTTGATGAATAATTTATTGCCTCATCGATAAATGAAAATTAACAATCCCTATCGTAGGACAACCACTGAATTACAATTTACAAAAACAAATTGGCACGAATAAAAATTATCAATGGTTTACGACTATTCACCGAAGTAGCGGTGGCTAGTGGTGGAAATTTATCGAGGGCAAGGTAACTAAGGTAAAAGATTGTTTTAGTTTAAACCGAGAAAATAACAATTAAAAAAACAAGCAAACTGAAACAAATGTTTGGAAGTTAAACTCTCGACAGGTGATTTTAGTCTATCGGTTGCTTGGAGATAATCACTTCCGAGCTAGCCAATAAACGCACGCAAAAAAGCGCTGTTCACCTGTTTGACAGCTGTGCGGTATATACTTATTGTGACAAGCATAAATAACACAGGTGAATAGCACTTTTCGCGCACGCTGATTGGCTGGTATGGAAGTAATTATCAAGTACTATTCACCTACGAGCGGCCTAGAGACAAAATTGCGCGTCAACAGCTTAATTTCCTACCATTTTCTGGTATAATGACAGAAATAAAACATTTCTTAACTAACTCAGTGCCATAACTATCTCCGCGTGTTTCTGTATGTCTTATTGATATAAGCGCGAGCAGTTAAAACCACTCACCCCTCGTCATACACTTGGACAAGTCCTTTGTTCCTATTACATTTCCGTTCGAGTTTTCAATCAGATAATATCCAGCAGCATTCTTGAAACTTTTATCGGCTCTCTAAGAGAAAAAATAAAAAAATAAAACAACAAACAAAACAGCAAACATGGGATTCAGCAGGAGCCTATTGTCCGGAGCTTCCATCTTCCATACTTACCCTCTGGGTCAACCCTGTACCGTATCTTTTTAACTTTAGAGGCACCTCCCACGGGATTCTTTGCGGATCTTTACATAATAGTCAATCATAAGATAGCTATTGTCCTCTATTGTTTACGTCACATGCAGGCCGCACGAAAGTATTTCAATACATACATACATATACTTTATTTAAGCTCGAAATTCAGTGTAGCTGTAAACCCTAAGAAAAAAAAATTGTTCGGAGCGGTGAAAATATAACGGTGAAAAGTGCGGAAAGTTTACCATTTTTTTGGGCTATTATGCGAACGTCGGCGTGTTTTCGCAGGAAATTAAAGAAAATCCCCCCTCCCCCTTCACATATCTCAGTTCTAATAATAAAAAGATACGGAACAGGGTTGACTCAAGAGTACAATTGGTATGGCGGCTCCGGGTAATGGGCTCCTGGATTCTGTCAGTAAAGAAAAGAGAATATTTAAAACCAACCTATATCTGGCTATCGTATCATATTCGTTTGTTGTACCTGGGTAGCAGGAGTTTCATGAATAAGCTAGATCTGAGCAAAGCTATCAAAGAAGTACAAAAAGTGAAAACAAACTTAAAATTTGCAGGTGTGCACATGTACACAGCCTGTACCTGTATCTGTATCCAGTTTTGCACCTTTCTGGTCTATTAGACTACCGCATGACAGTGCATAATAACGTGATATCAGTATAATCTTGGATTATTTCTTTAGACGGCATCAGAAACCTAACTTCTTCCGTAAACACTTCGTTTGCGAATACCCCGCTGCTATTTAAGGAAAGGAAGTAAACTAAACAATTTGAAAAAAATCTTTCTTCATTATAAATGTTACTGTGGATTTTAATGGACGCCTTGGAGTTTATAAATGGCACATTCTGTATTCTGTTAGTTCGAAGGTTAAGGATTTGAATTAAGTTTAAATTTTAGTTGAAAGGCCCTTCATAAATTGGTTGCATGGATGAAATCATCCTTCTCTTGATTATCGTTATTGCGAAAGACTCTCTCATCGAAATTGAATGCAAGTAATCAATAACACGAATTCACTACATGGCGTAAGATTGCTATATTACCCCCTTTTTTTACATCTATTACGGAACTATGCCATTCTCACCCTGGGGGGACAGCCCAATGCCGTTGTATACTATAACCTAACTACAGGCTCATTACGTTTAAAGTGTCCGGCCATTGAGGACGATTTGTATCGAGTGAAAAGAATTTGTTTATATATGTGGTTAAATTTTACATCTCCCAGTCCAGGAAATAGCATTTCATGGGGCAATTCCTTAATGTTTTGCATTTATATATTTCATTCTGAGATTTTTTGTACTTCACAATTCGCCATTGTTAGCGAAATCAAGCGGTTATTTAACTTGAAATTTGTAAACATTTGAAACTGCACCAAAATTAGCGAATGGAAGATAGCCAGTGACCTGATGTTTTATTACATCCCTGTATTGTGTTCCTGAGAAATCAGTAAAACAACAAGACAGGATAAAGTGAACCCTTTCCGATTGTATCCGAGTGAAATTTAACATATTTTTTTCGCCCAAAATCCTAACATCCGCTCATACTTACAGAATTTGGATTTCGTTTGTTGTTGGTCAAAAAGGCGTATTCATAAAGATCATCTTCTAGATCGTCCTCCACGTCGTCTAAACTATATTCTGGATCTAAATCCTCCATATCTTCGGACGGTGTTATATCTTCGTACGAAAAGGATCGGGAACTGACGTCATCTTCGGAACTCTCCGGCGTCCAGCTCGATTCCGAATAGGAAAACGCGTTTGGATGTCCGTTTATGAAGGTGATCGTGCAGACGAGGAAGCTTAGGACAAAGAGAATCTGTTGGAAGAAAAAGATGACAGGAACTGTTTATGACTTTTGTTATCTGTGCTTTGTGTTTTCTAGCTTCGTTGTGACTTAAAAGTTAAAAATTGACGAATTTTTGCTAAGATAGCGCAATAGTTAACGTCTTTAATAATTTAAATAGTCAATCTTGTTTTTTTTTCGACCAGCAAACTTGGTTTTTGAAAACGGACTCAAAAAAAATTGACTAAAATTAAACCCAAAAAGTTGGGTATCTTCCATGTCAACAAAAATCGCTCATAAATTTTCTTCGACTAGGATAGTTTGTTCCAAGATGCACTTTTAGTGTTAAAGACAAGAAGTACCGTCAAATAATTTAGCAAAACGTGAACTCCTGAGGTTCAATTGGAGGATTAAGAATTATTACTAACTTTTAATTGCCTTGGTGCTCCTGCTTTTATATCTATTTGAGATCAGACAGTTACTAACGGCATCAGAGTGTGTCTTTAGTGCTAGAATATCATGACAAGTTTTTAACAACTAAAGTAACTATCTATTAAAATCTAACCATGAACAAAACACTAAATCACGAGAAAATAACAATAGTAATAAAAATCCTACCCATTTTGAATAAAGTAAACTGTTGTTCATTTTGAGCTCAGTGTGCAAAGGTGCGCTTTAGTTTGACACTCTAATCCTAGTTTACAGTATTCTCCGCTACAATGCTTTAAAGCCGGTGATACCTCCGACCACTTGCCTTTATATATATTCATAGAGTAACAAGCAGGTGGGGAAAGTGTTATTCCGGCCTTAAAATGATATTAAGAGGCTTGAAGCTTGAAATCACTTATCATATGAGACCTATTTGCTCGCACTTCCTACGTTTGCATATCCGATTACCTCACTATGGCAGTGTTAGAAGTCTCGGCGATCAACTCTGAGATTAGGCCTTTTAACTTCCTTTTTCCTCTTTATTCCCTCACGACAGCTCTTTAGCAAACTTCCACAGTTCTCACGCTCCAGTTTTTGCTTGAATTTGTCTGGAATTCAGACACACTTTTGTCTCTGTCTAATTTCTCCGACGCTTTATTACAGGATTTCTTTGCTTGTTTCATTGTTATACCCTTTTGTTTTAGAAAAGAGTGGGTTGAAATACAAAGCCATAAAATTTGATATCAACTTTTCTGGAGCAAAAATAGATTCAGGTTAATAGTTGTTGGAGACGTATTAGTACAATATTGAAGTTCCTGATTCTTGAGAGTTTGTCAGTAGGCATTTTTATGAAGCACGATTTTAGGATTTTCAAAGGAAGGTCTTAAATTTCCCAAATTGAAATACAGATCTGCAGTTAAACCTTGCTTGCATATGGCGATGAAGGAAAATTAAACGATATCATTAAGAACAATCTAGAACTTTCTGTCTACATGTGAGATAGCTTGTTCTCGTACAGAGTTTTAATGAAATCATCGCATTGGCAAGTGCGGAACTTACAACATAGCGATTAAAATAATGTTTTGTCTTTTAATGTCCTATCAAAATTCAGGAGCGTTGTTTACTGAAAAAAAAAAAAAAAAATGATAAAAAATACGACATCTTGCTGAAAACGCCGTTTCCCGTACAGGCAGATGGAAATGTATTGGGAAGACACTACAGTTTACAATTTATAAAGCTTGGTCCAACTGATTTGGAAACATAATCATGGTGGAGATATGAAGCTCTCGGCATCGAGAATTCCAGAGTCTTCAGGATTTCCAACAATCTAAGCACGTCCAGAGGGAGCAAAGTTTCTGTCATGACTTGAAAGAACTTCCCTGAAATTTAAACTGCATGATTGTTCCTTTCAAAAAAATCTAACATGGAAAACAAAGATTGACCTTTTTTTAATTTCTTATTTTCATGTCTCGTTGACAAGAACAAGACAATAGAATGGTTGTCTCGACATTCGTTTAAATATTTATCTCGGAATTGTTCTTCCTGTTATAGGGCAGTCGTAATCTATGCTAAAAATGTACAACACAAAAATATCAGCGATTTCCAATTTACGAATCTCGAGAAAGCCTCTAATTTCGATTTTTTAGACCGGTTGTCGCAGCTTTCATGCCCGCCTTTACGCCGTCACCAACTCTAAAAGATTAACAGTCGCCTTCAGAGAGCGATATAATGCCGCTAATAGCTGCTAGGAATAGAATACTTAATAAAACAACCAATTTTTTCCCAAGAAGTTATTACAGCCCGAGGCAATGAACTGACGCTCTCTTTAAGAATATACTCAGACACCTGTACAGTTTCAAGCAAGGCTAATGGTTTACAGTACTTGACTGTTCATTTCTTAATGCTTCAGATCATTATTCAAGGCGTTTCAAATTTCGTTGGGTCGCCTGAAATGTGTTGTTAGAATGACTCCCAAACTCTTTATCAAAAGCGTGACTCAGTTATATATTGATTTCACCCCAAATTGAGGAAACCTCTCTCAAGACACGAATATTGGGCATTCATTTCACAATTTTAATCACACACTATTCGAAAAAGTGTTCGGATATTGGGTTTATCATACTGGCTCACCTTCTTACAAGCTTTGTTCCGCAAATTTGCGTGGTCATCGAAGACAATTTCCCACCAGTGTTTTTTTTCTCTTCGTATCTACTGACCGTGCAAGTGCTGTAGTGGTAAAAACTGGTATCTGCCCTAGGTCGATAAGCTAATAACTGTTCTTTCGGTCATGCAATAACTTTCTGATAAGAAGGTACACGTTTGCTTATTAAATTGTGATAATTACTCTCACCCACCGGTATATTACAGTTGTGCTATACTGAGCACTATATTTCCTTTGCTTTTGTCAGTGATACAAGAGCGGGTGTGTTTTAATGAAATAATGATCATGTACAATATATCAAAAGAATGTCCTTGAAATCCCATTTTATGAATTATGTTTGTACTGTCACTTTTAAAAATGAAGTTGGTTTACCGAAAAAATAATTTAATTTTGATAAAATTGAGATTATGCCATTTTCATTTAAAACCATTTGCGAGTTATACTTTGCGAGGCGATTTTTTGTTCTCGATCGACAAACACTTGTTGCCCTGTTTTCCCACGCTGAATCCGTAGGAAATACTAATTACTGAATCATAACTACTGAATTTCGATTTCCAGAATCGAGCCATCAGTTTTAAAAAAGTGAAGTTTTGTAAACGCAACACTCTTCATATGTTGACGTCAGAAGGTTCTCCCAGCACAAATGGTGGTGAGGTGGTTCGAGATGTTACTCGAAACTTGCTCGTGTATCAACATTGTTTCGTAGTTCTATTTTAAGAGCAAAGAGGGACTAAGATGAACCATTTCACCTGTGGCATATGTGCTGACGAATTCAGGTTTACGTCAGCTCTATTTTTGGAATAGTTTCAAGGTTTGCATTAACATGGCGAAAGACGTCAATGATAGAATGGTTATTGAAATACGTTGCGATAAAGTCATTCGTGCGACAGCTCTATTTATAGAGAAAACAATATTAGAGGTAGCATTTACTACATACGTGGAATACTTTTCAATGAAAAAATTTAATGTTAATTTAAAATAAACCTGCCGTCAAAAAAGGACTTTAAGTTATTCAGTTTCATGTAACCTAGAAACACCTTGTGCTTTTTAATGAATCTGCATGTACGTCGTTGTTCATCTTGGAAAATTAATTTTACTCTGTAATTCGTTCCCATTTGAAATCCGTTTTAATCATCTCTATCTCTCGAAATAATTTTTCCCTTTTTTTAACATATTTCTCTCTTTTTGGTCTTTTCAATTTTTCGTCAGTGTAGTCTTCTTAAAGTTAAAAACTCGTTTCATCTTGAAAAATTTTCCAAATGTACAATTGCAACAATTTTGTTTCTTCTCCAACCTTCTTTCGTTTTGACTAATTAATCCTTCTATTGTTTTTTTACATTTCACCAAACTAATATTTTGCCAAATTGGTCTCGTTAAATTTGAAAGCAGCTGCTCAAGGCGCAAACTTGCTGGAAATATCTTAGCGGTGGTTCCTTTAAAATTGCGCTTCTTTCTCGTAAATTCTCACATGGTAACCCGATTAAAGCAAACTAAGTTGAATGAGAGTATAAGCTGGCTATGTTAGATGACCTTTAAAGAGGTAGGAATAAACAAAATGGGGCAAGGATCGCTGAGGATAGATAAGCAGCAAACTTGAAATTTTTTGGTTTTAATACGAAAGTTTCGCCAAACGTAAAAAGTCACAAACTCCATCGCCATTTGGGCTCTCACCATAGCCTTTGACTGGATCTTACCATCGCATGCTTTAGCGTTTCATATCGCAGTTTGTTGGTCTTTAAAGCAGGTCTGCTAAAATAACGTCACGATCTTTGGAAGCCTATAGTTGAGAGTTTAGAGGAGAAGACTTTTTCTCTTTATCTTTTCCTCTTTACAAAATATTTGCCATAGAGAACAATAGTACGTAGTGTCAATAGTATATTGTAAACTTTGCAACTGAATTGTAACTTTTGTATAAAAAATCCAATTTTCCCAGATAATTACGATGATAGTGATGTAGTGTCAATAGTATATTGTAAACTTTACAACTGAATTGTAACTTTTGTATAAAAAATCCAATTATACGTCAAACGTGACCAGTTTCTTTATTGTTCAAATCGTGAAAAGAATATCATTTTCAGAAGATAACATTTTGTAGCAATTCCTGACGATGTTTAAAATGCAGTGACGTACCACAAATGTTGGCTCTATCTGCCAAGCATGGTTTCAGTTTTTTAAGAAGTGCTATCTGAAGTTTCTCGAGCGTGTGTTTCAATATCTTGAAGATTAAAAGAGTAGCTGGGTCGGGTTTTTAAAGACACGTTTTAATTAATCCAGAAGATGTGAA